TTTATTTATTGTATGAATGAGTAATACGTTAGATTTGAAGGTAGGCCTTAATAGCTGGAATGTAAGTGATACAGTATTCTCATGTGACCGCTATTTGATTCTTGGTCGGTTTAATGCTAGTTTTAATTAAATTCATTCAACAGAAATAGTGCAACTAGCAACTACAACTATCATATTCTTATACTAAGGCCCTTACCCAATGCTTACTTAATACTAATAAAGTTTCGAAATGTTAATAGTGATGATCACAAAGGCTCTATGGTGCTATGTAGTAATCATTTAGTGGTGAATATATTGATTGATGATTCATTTGCTCTTTGAGTTTATCACAAACTCCCGTGTAACAAGATAACGTTGTGATCGAATCTACGATCTCGCAATAATTAGTACGCCTTCGCTTTACGTTATACTTCTAACCTTAGAAACTAAGAACTAACTTTTATTAATTTGTCCAATCGTTTATATAGATTTTATCTACAAGCTTTTACCCACCTCTTAGAATACTACCAATCCAACTATAGATATAAATGACCTTTAACACATCACAATTTAAATCGTACCGTCTACAATCTATATCTGGTTACGTACTCCTCGGCTTACAATATCATTGCAGCCGCAAAGCATGTACTATTTTGGTGCAGTGAGTTAGCACCGTGAAATATTTTCAGAAGCCTTTAGCTGTTGGAAAAATTAATATTGCGACAGTTTTTCTTTATCAGGCTTTGAATGAACTCATGGAAGCAAATTCTTACAATTATGCAATTATTAATTTATTCTATTAGCGGCAGTTGCTAGACGCAGTTATCATATATCTAGTAGCTATATGTCACAAACCAGCTTCGTGACAAGGATAACGTAAAATAAATCTCTAAATTACTATAGTCTCCGGGATTCAGTATCCCTTAACTACCTCACAAGAATTTAGACGCCTTTGATTCTACGTTAAACTCAACTAGATAATTGAGAGCTATTTTATTCAACTATCTGACGGGTTTATATACCCTTCTAATGCAGCTAACAATCGCGAGTCATCTTATAAAAATACCTAGGTGAGAACATCTACTACGTAATTTTTCACAGTCGGACTACAGTGTGTCCATTCACTGAATCATTTCAGCGCACATTACAGCACAGCATTAAATTTACTGTAACACATTTATAATTAGAGTAATTCGTATTGTAAGTATCTAGTTGGTAATATATTATCACTGTATTATATTAACCAAATTTAGATAACTATTTCTTCACGGTAGTTCGTACCGTGACGCTATAGTAAAATTAAAGCCCGAGCTGGATTCTAATTGGGCGCGGTAATAATATCTTCCTTCACGCAGAAAACTCTAGCTTGTGAAAGCTGACATAATTAAAGTAAAATTCATCCATAAAAATTGACTTAGTGTTCAGCTTTGAGTGTTTGAGTCTATAATTACTGGTATTCAAAGTATTTAAATTTCCTTATTAAACATCATTAGGGTCATAATTGTAAAGCTCCATTACAGTAAATTTGGCTGAAATAGAAATTTTTCGACGGTAGTTATGCAGCATATAATTCAATTGAATTCAATTCTTTCAACAAAATTAAAGTATCATACCGTCTGGTAGTGGATATAAATCGCAGCGTGACAGATATGAATACTTAAATTATTTAACGCTTAATTTAATTAAACTTAATTATTTTAAAAGGATTAAAGTATCACATAGTCAGAAAGGGGATGAATGAGTAAATTGTAGCGTGCTGGATATGAACATTTACGTTTGAACTCTATAATATCTTTATTCTGATAAATGCCAACATAAGCATTATACCCTGAGTATGCCATTATAAAACACAAACCCGAATGTTTACCTCGTACACGTTCACATATTAACAACGATTCTGCTATAATACTACAATAATAATATTTTAGATTGTGACCTTAAACCAGTCAATTATATTTGCGGCACTTACTAATTCACTAGTAAGTATCACCAGCATAATAGAAATACAAGAGAGGCGTAGAATCATTCTAAGCGCCGACAGTGAGTTCATAATTACTTTATTTCTCTAACAGACGATGTAATACTGGATTAATCAAACAATCTATTTCAGGCGTTTCTAATTTCTAATTAAACATTGCAAGATTACCATAATTTATAACTATAGAATATTTAATAATTGCACGTTTTATGTTTCCAAACAACTATTCGGCTATTTAGCTGATTAGGAAAAGATGGAATTTTTGTTGTAATTTCCATATAAAGGCAAGTTTGATATGAAATAGTAACCGACTTACAAATTAAATTACACTTTGAGCTAGTAATTGCAGAGCTGCACAATTTATGAAACTTAAAAGCAGCTGATATAGACAATAATATCAAAGAATGCGTTATCGTGATTGTTTCTGTTTGTCATAAAGTAGAGACAGATTTTATTGCAATAATGGCAGCTATTTAAATCCAGATATAACATCATTGAGTTCTATTTAATCTTATGTTAAAATTTTAATTAATAGACTTATACTTCTGTTTTATACCAATATAATTTTAATCCAGACTAATCCTGCATTGGGTGTCAAATTCAGTAGTATCCATCTAATTTGAAAGGTATTCATGCTAATTTACTACTCAGATATCTTGCATGTAATTTCTCTTAATCTTAATTTCTTTTGAACGCATAGAATTAGCTGCGGTAAGCGTCGATTTTTTTATGCATAATGAAATTTTAAAATATAACGTGATACACCTGCTCTAATATAAGTCTAATAACTTAACAATACGCCTATAGGCAACTAATAATTAGTATATGCGTTTATGGGGAAGTAATTTAAAATTGAATGAAATTAAATTTTCAATCATAAAACAATTGCTGACTTCCTATTCACTTCTTCTTTAAGGTCTAGATTTATAGCCGAATTAAGCGTATAAGATACGTCAACGATTATTAGAAATCATTAAAATTGAATATTGCTATAGATTATAAAGACTATAAACAATTAATCTCCTGCAAGTTAATACAGTCTTCCTAAAACCTGCAAACGCTAATTATATTAATCGCTCCTACATTTCAGGATTATGCCTAGTTATTATTATACTGGTAACTATTGGCAAACGTGCGGAAGTAAAACAGTTTTGAATAATTCACAATGCTCTTGCAGCATAAAAATCAAAAATCATAGAATTTTAATGCTCAATATTGACTACACTTTTTTATTACTTATGGCTTTTGATAACAAAAGCGATTAGTAGATTGAAAACTAAAAATCTCGGACAATTACGATGGAGGAATAAAAGATATTTTCGTGGTTAAAAAGTACTGCAGGTGCAATAATCTTAAGTTTACTGCAGTAGCTATAAGTGCAGTAAACTAATGTATACTTCTATATTTTAGTAAGTTGGAGTACTTATAGTTACGATCATCGACATATACAAAACGGAGGGTTCCATGAGATTGAGTATGTCAGCTGATATTTCGCTACGCAAAATAAAAGCAAATCTGTCTTATAGTAGACGTAGCTGACATATGAAGGACGTAACCATAAAGAATTAAAAATAATTCATATTATACATTTCATCTGATGCTAAATATGTTTTATTGAAGGCATTGGAAATGAGAAAAATAGCATTTAAAATTGCAACAAAGACTGACGCAGCGGCGATTTAGTATAGGAAATATTTTAAATTGTTCTTCAAAGCATAGCAGAATTATCGCACCCATTATTGTCGATATCCTAAGTTTTACTTTATTTTTAAAATAAAGATTAATAAATTATCGCATTTTAGAGTTTATTTACTTAAGTTTAAGATATTAATTCAGGAAGTCAGGTATCTAATAATGTTGAACCAAGATTCTCTATTCACTAAATACAGTCAATCAATATTGGCTATTTCTATAAAATCATGTCGCATAGAACTGAGTTCTTTGGTTCATGGCATCCTTTAAGTTTGCTTAACCTAAGATATTAATTCAGAAAGTTCGATCTTTCTATAAAATCAAGTTACGTATCATCGAGTTCTTCGCTTCATAACATATTAATTAAAGTTTAACTAACTCTTAGATATTAATTCAGGAGGTTAGATTTCCAATAATGCCAAACCTAGACGGACTGTTTACTAGTCACAGTCAATTGATATTGGCTATTTGTATAAAATCTTGTCGCATACAATATAATTAATTTCTTTGCTTCATAATATATTCTTTAAAGTTTACTTAACTTCCAAGGTATTAACTCAGGAAGTTATGTCTCCAATAATGCCGAACCTAGACCGTCTAATTACTAACCATAGTCAATTGATATTGGCTATTTCTATAAAAATTTTGTCCTATATAATTGAGTTCTTAGGCTCATAGCATATTCTTTACCTTCAAGGGATTAATATTGATGGTGATATTATTTATAACTCTATTATGCCAGTCACTATAGAATTAAATAGTAAAATCCTTTATGAATTTGGCCACTCAGAATCAAATTGAAAACTAGTCCTAGCATGGTATTAATATTTACAATACCTCCATGAATGCGTATAAAAGCGAAAGAATTGAAATTGTTTTATTTTTCTAAATCATAAAAGCTGATATTTGTTAATTAACTTAGATTACTTATATTATCTGTTCAAATCAAAAATTTAAATAAAATTCTTTCTTGAAAGGGACTAGAGGGTGACGGTGACAGAATGATTTCCCTGGGATGAAACTGTTAGTTACATTAACTGCAGTTATTATTTAAGAAGCAGTTCTTAAAATAAATTCACTCCGATAGATCATTATTTTTCGCCCTTGAGACATTAACAATTAGGTAATAAATTGGACGAAATTTTTGCATCCTTGGAGCGACGAACGTGAATTTAAAGTTGTTTTGCATTCATTCCAATTTAATAATCATTATTTCAAGAAAAATTAAAAAAACTACTTTTAGAGCAGATTGATTTTATTGGCACATGATCAATTTGATTTAATTGCAATCTCCTTTTCAGCGATTTTGATTTACGTGAGAGAAGATAATTAGATTATATTTACTTCAAGCATGGGTCAAAAACCGAGTCATAAGGTGAAATTGTCTATTGGAGGCCGTAGCGACGATCGAATACAACATTTACTGCAATCGGGTCGTCGATATCGTCAACATAAGGACTACGAACGCGCTAAAAAGCAATATATTAAAGCTCTTGATAGTGTCATTAATAATAAGCTAGAAAAAGTTCTATATCGAAATCGATTACTGTTAGAAATTTTCCTTGATATTTCTCGCTGCCATCGAAAACTTTTACAAGTGGATGAAGCAAATTATTACTGTAGACTTGCTGAAAATGTAGCTAAACAAATTCGAAATCAACTCGCTAACGATCACAGTTTAGATTCTATTTCCGATTGCGACATGAAAAAGCAAGATCATGCAGCATTAGATACCCACAATTTGGATCATTTTGGAAGGAACGAATTAAGAAGTTATGACTTGGCAATTGGTATATTATATGGTAAGATTGGAAGAATGTATTTTGCACAATGTAAATACAGTGAAGCTTTACCTATCTGTAAAACAGCAATCAATATTCAAACGACATTGCGTAGCAAATGTGATCAAGATATCGCTACATTATATGATGTTATTGGACATGTCTATAAATATAAAAGTAAGTACGATGAAGCTTTGTCACACTATCAAGCCTCGTTAAATATGAGGCAAGAATTGAAAGAAACAAATAAGTTAGACCTAGCTAACTCTTATGAAAACATTGCTGATATCTATAGTAGACAACGGAAATTAGATGATGCTTTATCCTTATATGAAACATCGCGAAACCTTAGACAAGAAATATTAGGAAATGACGCCATCGAAATTAAGCATTCAAATGGGCGTATAACCAAAATCCTTTATTTACAAGACAAACATAACGATCTATGAAAAGTGCTGAAGTCGAAATTTTCATAGCAGAAATTACAAAATTACTATAATTACGAAATGTAATCATTATTAGTAATGGGTTTATTGGTTAACAAACCATCACGCGATCTCTTGCAATTCGACCTTGAAATTAAGGCATGATGTATAAATCGTTACAACTATTGGTCATATTTCCTTAATTCTAAGTGTAAGGACTATTAGTTGATTTATTATTAACAAGCCATCACGCGATCATTTGCAAATGGAATGTAAAATGGAAGTTATAAGTAGATACAACTGTTGGTCACATCATTTTGATGCTAAGTGTAAGGAATAGTAGTTGATTTATTATTAACAAGTCATCACGTGATCATTTGCAAATGGCTAGTGAAATTAAAGCACTAAATTTATACAACTGTTGATCACATTATCTTGATTCCAACTGCAAAAAATAGTAGTTGATTTATTATTAACAACTCATCACGCGATCGCTTGCAAATGGATAGTGAAATGGAAGCACTAAATTAATATAACTGTTGGTCACATTATCTTAATTCTATATGCAAGAACTAGCTGTTGATTTATTATTAATAAATCATTATTCGATCTTTTGCAAATGGACTATGAAATTAAAGTACTGAATTGAAACAGCTGTTGGTGATACTATCTCGATTCTACTTACAGGGGCTGTTATTAATTTATATTGAATAAAACCGCAAGTGAAGATTTAAGTTCTTGGCAATGTAGGCTTTTCACTTTTTAACACTTTTCATTTCCTTGCTCAGCTTTTTTCTTCTAAAGGAAATCATTTCACATCATCGAGGCAAATTGCTCTCGAATTCCATGCTCTATGAGGTAGATAAGATAATAGGCATGATGAGTATCTTTTCCTTCCTTTTCGCCTAACTGGTCCTTTCTCCTGCGCTTTTCAAATAATGTAGTTAAATTGATCATCATTCTCGTCTTGATGTATCATACTATGTTAAAACAGATGACTGCAATTTAGAAAGCAATTTATTACTATCAAAATAGAGGCGTTAAATTAACCTTCTAACAGTGCAGTTATTTCTTGCTGAATGACATTTTAACTGTGAAAGCAATTTATGTGTGGAGATTTTCATTACTTCAATTTCTTTCAATCAATTTTGTAACGGCTTTTGATTTTAGTAGGAAATAGCTTACTTTCTATTCATTGTGGTGGCTCTAACAGTGTGATAGTATATTTTTATGAGCTGATCTCTATCATCCTTCTTTACGCACGCCCAACAGTTTCTTTGACCTGTCTTATGTTAGTATTAAAATTGATCCAAGTCATTATCATTGCAGCGATAGCTATGACTAATAGAATATTTCTCAGACGTTTGCATTCCTTTTTTACGGTATTAATACTCAAAATAAAGCATCAGTGAAAGTGTCGTTACTTTTGATATTCCTTGTGAAAAGAGTACATACAAAATTTTAATATATTGGCATAAAAAGCTTTTAATCTAATTTGTATCAGTAAAATGACTTATTTGATCAATCCTGTAATTAATACCCGTATTGAGAGTAGAAATGACTAGATATTAAGTTGATAATTGAGGATGAAATAGTCATGACGGACTAACTTTTTACGTTTCTTACTTGGAAAAATCACGTAATATTGAAATAAATGGACCTTAACCTAAATAGCGTCAGTAGATGGTAAGAACACTTATTTTGCTTATTAATTTGTGTGAAAGTACAATTCTAGAATATTAGATTAAATAATATTAAAATAAGTATTGGAAAAAGTTAGATACTAGCTATTGCAGCATTTTCTGCCTGTTGTTAGCACGTTTATGTGTTGCTACTTACCCTTAGAGATTAGGCGCTTATACTCTTAGAAAATAGAATTGATTGAAGACCACTAATTATCTAAATCACAAATCGAACGTAGTAGCAGTCCGGCTATTACATCTAAATATTCTCTCGACAAACATATAAAGAAATGAAAGGATTCTGTTCGATGTCGTTTTAGTTTTGTTAATTAGATATAAGCAAGTAAGATAAAGATATCTGATTTTGCCATTTTAAGTTATAGTATGGTAATATAATAACCAAATTAGCAATGGAATTTGAAAATATTAAAAGTCATACCAATTCTATAATTTCGCTAGCATCAAGGCACTGTAGTGACATACACAAGTAAAAATAATTATCTCTTGATTTTATATGTACAAATTAGCTGTCATTAAATGTGATGATCCTGTTTGTAGTTCAAATACTGCATTTTATCGCAATATTTGCTGTGATTAAATCGTATACTCCGTAGTTCAGTACTTAAAATTCTTCCATAATTTGGGCTAGGTTGATTTTTACTTTAAATTATTTGTATAAGCATTTGTGCATCTAATTTCGAAGAACATTTTTATTAAAACTCTGCCTGTCAAGATATCTTTCTATCCATTATTATTTTAAAGGTTTTTATTGCTTATCGCATGAGTTGAATAAAGTATTACGTTAGCTAAATAATGTCAGGTTTCTGATTTTCTTTCTGTTTTAAAGGCTATTAGCAGCTATTCAATATATTATTGCATAGGGCAATTCTTTCATTGCTAGCATCTTTCAAGATCGGGTTAGACTGCTTTGGTGTGGAATGCTATATGATTGGTACTAAATTTGTACTTACTATACGACGGCAAATGTAGTTATTTAAAGCTCTTTTGCTACCTTCTGTAATATAGCTAAAAGACTAACTTCACTATGTTACTTAACTAAACTTGCCTAATCTAAACTAATTAGATTTCCCTAGATAACTAACAATAACTGAGAAATGCACTTTCGGAATCTTTTAACTATAGCTTTATTCTAGAAAATGCAAGTCTAATTTAATATTCAAAATCAATCATTCAAATAGCTTTTCTAGCCATAAAACCGGTTTACGATGTGTGATATATTTCGACCTATGAAACTTCGTGAATGCATTAAATTATTCCTAGTCTAATCCAGTGAATCTGTAATATTACTATAGATTAACTTGATGTTTGCTCTAGCTTATAATTAACAGGATTTATATTGAATTTACCATTGACAATTCATATACCATATTTAGTATAATTTAACCTGTATTAGGAACAGGTTTGTATCGGCTATATTAAGTCATAAAATAATTCATGTACATATCCAAATTAATAACTATCTTAACGTGATATATATGTTAACCTATATACATGTCTAAATTAAGTAAGTTATCATTCATCACGGTAAATTCACTACTATGACACACTAGGATACTTACTTTGTTACTCTAGGAAGGTTTCTTCATCCTAACTTCAATTAGATCGCTATATTTCGCGAGAAATGATGTTTAAAAATTCTATTCATAACTAATTATGAATGATCGATACCAAAGGCGGTTTTCTCGAATTGTCTATAGTCCATGAAAATGCACGACATAAAGGATCCTTTTGATTTCTATATACATAACCGAATAATTAATAACATTCTACAGATTTTGGGTCATCATGGAGCTATTTAATTTCATATTGCTTCCTTGTAAAAATGATTGAGACTTGTAAGATCGCAAATATCTGGTATACCTTCATGGTCCTCCAATTAAATAAATAGGTGTTTGTAATGTAACTTAGTATTGTGATTGTAGACTGTTAGCCATGTGTAGTATAATGTACGGTAAATATTTATCCTAAGAGATATTTGGTAGCTATAACTATAGACTGTAGTGGTATAGACTCTATGCTAGATTACAGATGACTATATACAGTAAGCTGTTGAGTTACTAATAAGGTTATAGGTAAAAATAGAACTGTAAATCATATATTAGGATATGGTTAATTTATTGTACTTTGGCTGGTGTGAATAATGTCTACGTAAGTACTGTAGTCGTATCCATATTGGATTAATGATGGTCCGCAGTAGAATAGTGTTACTAAGAATAATTTAACTATGTGTAAAATAAGGTAAAAGGTTGCCATGCGGATTGTAGCTGCGAATGCTACGAAAAGTATAAAAGCATGCAACTTTAGATTATTCTGTTAGTTCGTTCTAGAAGTCTTTAGTAGTAGTATTCGGCTAGAGTAGAGCTGTGTGTAGTTAATCTTTGCATAAGATTCAATAAAGCCCTTATTTTTTTTAAATTTGGAATTTCGTGATTGGTATATATCACAGTGTTACAGTGTTAAATACTGTATTACAGTAGAAATATCTATGTTAGGATAGTTTTGTTAAACTATCCTTATTTAGTCAACTTCTAATTTGGATATACTGTGTTTTAATATAGCCTGACTTTTTATGACAGTGACACTTATACACATACTGAAATTAATAGTTATAATAGGGAATGCAAATCATCTACTTACAGTTCGAATCATTGGGATTGTAATTTACTTATGGTAGATTGTAAATTATCATGGAAATGTTCCGTGATAGGACATATCGTAATCTGACTATTCTGTATTAGTCATTACATGTCTATATTCGTAAATACTGTTGTCTGCATTAAGGGAGCAGTAAGCTAAACTTAATATCTAATTCAGTAAATGATTCCGAGGTTAATTGTATTAACTATGACTCATGAATTATTGAGGAATAGTATATAAATGCAGTATATCGTGAAATAAAGAGAATTCTCCAACTTAGTATTTAACGTAAAATACGAGGCGTTTAAGTCTTTGTGTAGTCTGCTAGTAGAGCAAAAGTGTTTGTGATAGTGTAGATATCGTTCCTTGATACGTGGTTCAAGGAATTGACTTATTGATCGTATATTGCGTTATCTTGTTGCAAAGCTGTTTTGTGACAATAGGATAGCTTACTTTGAATAATTAGTTAAATTTATGCTATTTCTCTCTATAAGTTTGTAATATAATTTGCTTCGTCTACCTACTGGAGTCTTACTATTATGACATAGTTTCGAATTAACCTTGCTAGAAAATTTTACTTTGTGGTAATAATCGTGCTGGTATCTTCTAATCAAAGTATTTCCAATTATCAAACGAAGTCGCATCTAAATTAAAATCTCTTCGGAATATCTTCAATGCATGAACATTGTCTTATATGGAATTATCCGTTTATCCAAATTTATAATTCAAATTGAATTCACCCAATAATAAAGGTTATTCTATTACCTAATGTAGATATAGCAAAACTAGAACTTTGCCGGTTCAAAATTAAGCTACTCTTGCGATATTGACTTGATATTCTATAATTGTGACAAACAATGAATAATCATTTTTACTCAATTAATTATGCCTCCTTCACGATCACAATAGAAAATGAAGCCCCATTCTTTTAAATAATCATGACCCATCTTATATTTCCTATTATAATGCTCTTATTAATCTGTGTAAAAAAATAAAGTCAGCGTTGCTAAAATTTTTTACTTCAATGTTTACTAACAAGAAAAAAGTTAGCCAAGAATTGATTTAAGATTTTTGGATAGCATCTTAATACCGGTATTTAATGCATTTTTAGAGAGGAAATGCGAATTGTGTCTCGTATATTACCGGAAGGAAGGTGATGGAAGTAATAATTACGAAATGTTGCTAATATGCTACGTAAATTTGAATGCTTTACCATCAATTATTGATATCTAATTTTATGATTGCGAGATCTTATCAATTTGAATATTTTAACTACGATGGCCTTAAATTTCTGGAAAAAAATCATTGTCTATCTCCGATTAGATTATCTACTTCAGAATTTAAGCAGGCTAACTGCTAAGATATGGCTATTTAAATTGAATAGCATTTATATTTCTTTCTCATTCGTTTATATTACTATATTCTAGCAGAATATTGTAGTTCTCAGTTAAAGCTTATAAAAACTTTGCTGCATATTAAGGCCAACTTAACTTCTATAGTACGTCAAAATAGCTAGCAGAAATACTAAATATATCTTTACGTAAATGTAAGTATTAGAAAAATAATTCAATTTTGAAACTTGTGTGCAAGCTGCTTTCCTTAGTACAAAATGGTTAACAGATAGTACCAGCAGCTTGTGAATTCTCATAGCAATTAAGTTTCTAGATGAAGAACATCAAAAGTAGTAAGACCACATATACTCCAGTTTTTTTCACGATAGATGAAATTAGCTGTAGTGGCTTGCAGATAATTTTCTACACCTTTATCGTGGCATTAACACCATTTGCATTACTTTAATTTACGGTATCTTCAGTATTAGCTAACTTTTAACAATTTTTTCAAATAAAACCAAGTCTGCGAATTTTTCCACCTATGGCACGATCTTAAGGCTTATCTAAGTGTTTAACTGAAAAACGTAAGGCTGATGATTTTATACAGTAAAACGCTGATAAAAAATCACGATAAAGGTACTGTTTAGATAAAGTGGAAAATTTAAGTGCTTACTACAGCGCTTGTTGGTCAGTTCTTGAGTTAAGCTATTCCCACGGATCTATTCATCCAATCATGAGAGTATCCACAACTAATTAAATTAAAGAAATCACAATATACCGGTAATTCTGCACGCACGATAAAAGCTCTTCCGTTAAGTAAGCTATCGGTCTTAATTACATATAGCGTAAACTATTATAGTATCTGTTAATAATAAACGGTACAATATTCACCTTAAAAGCCGTTTAACTATTAATTGAAATATTATTAAAAATATAAGTATAATTTGACTTAAGATGAACCCTGACCAATTATTATTATCGCTCACTTCTATGAATTCATTAGTTATGAAATCGTCCTTCATATTTTTTAACATTAAAGCCCAAGATAGCTTAATTGTTGATTTTGCATTTTGGAAAGACACCTAATAAATGAAGCAATGGTCAATTTAAAAATCTAGTTAATTCAACCAAGCTAGTATTGACCAGCTACAAACTATAGAGATGGATAGAATAATTTATGTATGATTTTATTACCTTATCCATAGTAGAAAACTTTTATAAACGTGGTCATTTCCCTTAATTTTTAGGATATAGACTGGAAATAGATCTGACTCAGCAACTGGGTCATGCTAAAATAAAAGTAATTGTCTAGATGCGGCAGGAAATAAAACAAAATTTAAATAATTAAATTTTAAATTAGTCTAGCCCGGAATAATAGTTTCATAATTAACTGAATCAATTAGCTATAGTACCTATAGATGTTAAGAAAGAATTTATTCAGCGTTCAACTGAGAAAAATATTAATCACTTTATTAATTAGTTTATCGAAATCCACTCAAGCTATTCATAAGTTATTATTTATCCGACATGTTACGATTGTAGAGTATGAAAATCGAGCCTACTACAAAGAGCGTAATTTTAAGATAATTAATACTATTGAACTTCTAGAACCAACGCCATTGCTGTAAAAAAATAGTCAAGTATTTAATCTAATCTAAGGTATGATCTTTCAAAATATATTTGACAGATCTCAGATATCGAACGCTTAAAACTGGGAAAAATTGGATTATAATAATAATATCAATTATGCAATGAATTTAAAATGTCTCTTCCGCACGAATCATTAACTAAAATAGTACATTGAATCATCATACCATCTATGGCCAGCTGTGCTTTAATCAATCTACTAACTATATTGTTTACGTTCTATGTAATGTATCGTAGTAAACATCAAAGGGTTAATTGTATGCATGCTTGGATGATTTTTTTCATATAGTATACTCTAAAATCCTCCATTGATTCTAATTTGTCTTTCACTTTGATGAATTTAATTTAATAATAAAATACTTACCCGGCAAAGAAGTTATTGTTATGTAAATTGAATTGAAGGAAATACAAAGCTAAATTGTCACTTTGATGGCTGTATTTTATTTAATTTACGGTAATTAAGACCGGATGACTGATATGAAATTTTTAACCATTGAGCGGGCATGACTATTATTCAATGCAATCGTATTTAATCCAAGAAATATCATTATTTTCTGCTTAAAGTTCTCGACTGACACTTTCCTCATCGAATAGCTAAGTTTAAACAAACTTTGCATTTGTGTTGGGATTGTCAATCCGAATTTAAGAAACTGTGGTAAAAGCTTGCCTGATATTCATTATGGGTCATAACATCAGCCACGTCGTTAAATCATCACTAGAAAGTCGCAGTAATTACCAAATAGAGTCTTTACTGCAATCTGGTCATCGGCTTTGCAAAAGTAAAGATTACGAAAATGCAAGAATCCACTACTTGAAAGCCTTAGAAATTATCAATCAGAAAGGTAGTGAAGGACTTTATCGTGATCAACTATGCTGTGAAATCTACATGACCATTGCTTACATTTATCAACATCAGTTACAAAGTGACGAGGCAGAATTGTATTGCCGACTGGCTGATACATTAATTGGTCAAATCAAAACCCAACTGCGCGAGAATAAAGATTTGCATTCTGTATCTGTATTGAAAGCCAATAAAAATAATCACGATAATCATTTAATATCTAGTTGGACCGATTTTGGCCGTGATAATTTAGATGCATTGGAAAATTACACTATAATTTTAGCTTCATTATATACCAAAATAGGCAGTATAAAATACAGCCAGTATAAATATGAATCTGCAGTATCGGTTTGCCAGAGGGCGATTTTTATTAAATCGAATCTCTTAGGCATTCGTGGTGATTCAGATATTGCCACCATGTATGATGTCATTGGTCATTCCTATAAATATCAAGGTAAATACACCAATGCCCTGGATAATTATCATAAGTCATTAAAGATCCAATCAAAAATATCAGGAAACGGAAATTATAGTCTAAGTATCGCCAACTGTTATGAAAATATTGGCGAAATATTTCATCGACAGAAAAATTTCGGTCAAGCTTTATCCTTGCATAAGAAATCGTTGAATATTCGATCAAAGATATTAGGATACGATACTATTGAAGTCTTACACTCCAGCAGTAGACTTGCTAAAACTATGTGGGAATATAACAACGCTTGTGAATCTGCTATACAGGACTAATATGAAATTCAAGAATGCAAAATATAGATATTGGCGAAATAAGTTCAAAAAAGATGTTATCTTATTTGTAATTATAATTTGACTATTATTGTATTCTCAGAGATGTAAAGGGGTCATATCAGACATGATTGGTGCATACAGTCTGAAACTTGATTTTTCTAAATTGTATAAAATTCTTTGAGTTTTTCTAATATTGCTAAGCGTTAATACGATCTAATTTAATCAGTAATGTGATTTACATATTTTTTCTGATGCATTTTTAAGATTTTTATAATAGCTGTATAAATTTTTGCATAATTATAAATATTACTAATTGGATAGAGAGCGAGAAATCAGTTGCTACATAAACCGTGGGTGACAAGAAAAAGAGAAGAAACATTGATAGAAATTTTACTAATCGTATTCATTAATGACAAGGAAAAAAAATAAAATAAAATATTCTCAAAATTAGATGCTGATAATTACTCTCATACAATATTTATAGTTCTATTAAGGAAAGATGCTTAAGCGAATGCGATTTAAAAATGAAACGACAAAAAATCAAGATATTATCCAACAATGACAGCTTTCTGCTTTTCAAGTTTTATCTATGTTTGCGCAGAAATAGAAAATATTCCTCAAATCAAGTCTTATCAGGAAAATATGACAGAAGCATGACATTAAAGTATCTGGATAACTGTAATATGTATATAGCCGATAGCTACTTCTCTACTTTTTGAAATAGAAAGTAATAGTTAGCAAATAAGCCATTTCGTTTCTAATTAATTCTGGCTGGGTTTATCTAGGCAGTTACAGCATACCATTAGGATTATTTAACGATTGCCATATTAATAAAGTAGATAATTCGTTATTTTAATGAAATAGCAGTAAATAGTCAGGAAATGAACTGTTAGTTTTCTAACATAGATCATGGCTGGCATCTATCCACGGAGAGCCGCAGCATAAAATTAAGAAGCCTAAATGGCTATAATCGTGATATACTTGATACATAGTTCTTTCTTCTATAAAATAGTATTAGGGAACTAAAGAATTAATTATTAATTTCCTACTAGATTTTATCTATGATAGATCGCAGCAGCTAGCAAGTCTGTTAGTGCTGCTTCGACAAATTCCTATGGTAATATCTACTAGAAAGCGACAACAAAGCATTTTCTCTGATTTATTTCCTACTCAATAGAAAAAACTACTTCTGTACTGTATATAATCAGTTCTAGGGATCAATTCATAAATTGTGAACTTTTATGGTAGATTACGAGCACTATAACGAGCTTTACTGATCAATTATAGGCTTATACAGTAATTTAGTTATTATTACATATCTTTTGAAGAAACAATTCGGTTCTTGCTTTGCCGATAAAGAATCATGAATTCACATACTTGTATATCCGTGTTAATAATTAATTAATCATACTTATTTATATTACAGCTGTATTTTTAGAGATAAACGTCAAAGAAATTTTCCGTAATGAAAATTAAAAATTTACTCAATATTAGATGATTGATATGCTAAGTTTATTACAGCTAGAGGGGCTATTATTTGATGAATTATAAAATAGATAAATAGGATGTTATGATGCTGAAGTTATTATAGTATGATAGCAATAAATGGCAAAGCAAACGAGAGATAGATAGGCTCTAGACTGCATAAGTTATTGACGACTTTTATACTCATCTTAGTAAAATTTAATGATTGTTATTATCAGGACAAGATCATTCAACTCTGCAATGACTGTCATTTTCTTATTGACATCTAAAATAATTTCATTATTACAAGTTTCTTTAATATTCCTAATCGTATCAAAAATTATCTACAGTAAAATATAGATGAAAACATGCAAATTACTACATTTATCGCTGATAATACCCCTTCAATTAAATTACTGGATTTACTATGCAAATTAGTACAAACAAATCTGTTGGTATTGTAGACCCAAATGACTAGTTGGCACAACGGAATTTGCGAAACAAGATGTCAACATAAGGCTGATGAATTATTTTTATTAACGTAACTAATCTATATTGCAATTTATTCTTAATTAGAGTTATTGTTAAAATGTTAAGTTTTGTTGTGATATTTTAGGTGCTGCTTGTCTCGATCGAGATTATAACATAAGTGGATTAGCTGAAGTATAGATCCTTTCTCTTCATTAACCCGACAAATCTGGCTCATGGCATTCTCTTTACTAGAATTATCTTATAAGGCTAATTTTATGGCAAGCACCTTAAGTTCTACTCTGCTATCGTCCTGTAGGCAAGTATTTAATCATTGCGGGAAGTTTCAATTTAACTAGCTGAAACTAGAGCTACAACTGCTATAATTTGATAGTAGTAATAATCGCTGGTTAAATAATATTCATATTTTTAATATAGATATGCATACTTGGAAATGGTTTATATCACTAAATAAATTAATAAATTGATATCATAAGCTATCTGTTACGATTTTATTATCGTTAGTCAATTATATTGGATGACTAAAATATATGTTAAATTATTCGAGCATACTTAACTGATTTGAACGTATTAAATCATGAAAATGTTTCATCAAAATGATCTTTATACAGATATGAAATAAACGAGTATTATTGAAATAACTCGCTCTTAAATTAACATTGTCGGCCTGCTTACAATTGCAATTTTTTACTAATTTTTTCCCACCGCTACTCGATTAATAATTAATTTATACCTTTATTATTTAGCGACTCTTGCAGAGGACAGATTCTATTTCTGTTTAGAACTATTATGTTCATCAAATATCGGATTTACTGCGTCTATTATGCATTGACTTTGGTGAACTTCTTATCCGATGTTCTCTTTCTTCTCTAAACGCGTGAGATTGCTTTATTGCTAATTGAATTGCTTTCTTAGTTGAAGTTATTTAAAAGATTGAGACAATTACTTTACATCGTAATGATTTTCATTATTCTACAGTGTTAGAGAGAAAAGAACAAAACCTTCTAGATTGCATTAATAGCAGGTGCTTAACTTAGCTTCACCGAGTCTATTTATAGGCTCAAATATATATCATTTTAAAGATTGAGATAATTACTTTATATTCCGACATTATAACATTTAATAGCTTATTACAAATAACTCTAGAATTTTCGACACACAGAAAGCCGCAACTCGCTAAAATCGCCGTAGGATAACTTTATGAAAGTCCCTTTGTAATATCTGCATAAAGCGCAAAAGCAATAACACCATTTTTTATCTTTTACAGGTTTGAGTGCAAAATAAGAAAAGTTCTTTAATGTCAGCACAACATTGCATTCCTAGCTACGAGTTGTAATTTAATTTTAAAAACGGTGATGAAGACTGAATTCATAATATATACTATTCACGTGATGGCTTTAGCTAGTTGTAGCAATTTTGTGCTAGAGAGTACTGTGATAGTATGTAGTTGTTACGGAGCTTGATACTCCGTGATAAGTGGCTGGTAGTAAAGTTGCTAATGAGAATGACTGTAAAGATTATAATTAATCTAGCAAATAGTGTCGTGCTATTAAAAATATCATTCAAGATTGTTAAGTCGTAGACCACAATTCTCAATTGTTAATTGATTATTATTATTTATAACTTTTAATATATTGACTGTTATTAATTAATTATGCCGAAGTCGGCAATATAACTCAAAATGCGATATTACACCGCTGTGGTGAGATAATTAATATTAACCAGCGATACGTAGTAATTAATACTCTGTCTAGTCTACAGTAAGTCTGTAACGCGTATTATATAATTTAAAGTGATAGATTAGCACAAGGGTATTTGTGTGATATAGGAGATTGTATATAAGCCTGATCATTAATTTTTAATCTCGGTTCCTCTGAGGCTACGCAAGAGCACACTAGTACTAAGTTGTAGTACTTATTAACAAAATATTTAATAAGCTAAACTTATCGTTGGACTCGTTTTCTATAGTATGGGAATAAGTTAGTTTTCCTTTATTGAGGATCTTCGGAGTTAGTCAGGGAACCTTAAGAAAAGATAGTTTAGTTCAGGAGCACGAAGCATTGTCACAAAAGCTGTGTTGTGACTCAGTTTGATCTTTACGAATTTACGGAAGCGTGCGGAATTTCTGCTGAGCCAACGACAACAAATAAATTTCCTTTCTTTTCTATCGGTGGTTGAAATCGACCTTTATTAACTACAACCAACCAACTTACTAACTCATACTCTAACCGACTTGCCAAGATAGTAAAAGCGCCTCATTTATATACTCTAACATTGGCATGAATATGCATAACTTCTCTAACATTGCGATAACATTCTTGAGATATCATTTTTCAGTATAACACAATTGACTAATAAACATACTTGTACCGTACAACATTAATTTATCATTTACCATACAAGATAAAGGTAGCAACTATGCATAGTTAAGGATATTAATCCTTAAGAACAATATTATCTAGCGATGCTAGTCTAGCAGTCGCGACAAGCTGCTCGAAAAAAAGCTGTTTTGTGACAGTACTGTAGAATTGTATGCCTTAATTCCCATACATGACTATCACAACGGCGATTACAGTACAATTTATTCGCTTTAGAACTACTGTAAGTATTATTGAGCGTCTCTGATTCTACTTGCTAGAGCAAGACCTTAAACAAAATATAATAACCAATATAGGGTAGATATGTGTTAATTAGTGTTAAGCTTTAACAAGTCTTAATCCAATTAACAAGCGTTACAGTGTTATATGCTATAATATCGAGATTATTCTAGAAATATCTATGTCAGGATAATTCTTACAATTTAAATCACTGTGATATTATAACTTACTTATGGTAGATTATAGATTATTCAGATAATGTTCTGTGATAGAACATTGTGATATATACCAATCACGAAATTCCAAATTTTAGAAAAATAAGGGCTTTATTGAATCTTATACAAAGATTAACTACGTACAGCTCTACTCTAGCCGAATACTACTACTAAAGACTTCTAGAACGAACTAACAGAATAATCTAAAGTTGCATGCTTTTATACTTTCCGTAGCATTCGCAGCTACAATCCGCATGGCAACCTTTTACCTTATTTTACACATAGTTAAATTATTCTTAGTAACACTATTCTACTGCGGACCATCATTAATCCAATATGGATACGACTACAGTACTTACGTAGACATTATTCACACCAGCCAAAGTACAATGAATTAACCATATCCTAATATATGATTTACAGTTCTATTTTTACCTACAGCCATATTAGTAACTCAACAGCTTACTGTATATAGTCATCTGTACTCTAGCATAGAGTCTCTACCACTACAGTCTATAGTTACAGCTACCAAATATCTCTTAGGATAAATATTTACCGTACATTATACTACACATGGCTAACAGTCTACAATCACAATACTAAGTTACATTACAAACATATAATAGTCTGACTATTTTGCAGTGATCATTAGATATCTATGTTCGTAAATACTGTTGTCTTCATTAGTTAGCAGTAGATAAAATTAGCTTTTAATTTATTAGAAAGTTTCAACGATAATATTAATAACTAGGATGTCTAACTATTGTAAAAGAGTATAAAAATGCGGCTGTCATGGTACGAACTACCGTGAAGAAATAGCTGTCTAAATTTGGTTAATATAATATAGTGATAATATATTACCAACTAGTTACTTACAATACGAATTACTCTAATTATAAATGTGTTACAGTAAATTTAATGCTGTGCTGTAATGTGCACGGAAATGATTCTGTGAATGGACATATTTTAGTCCGACTGTGAAAAATTACTTAGTAGATGTTCTCACCTAAGTATTTTTATAAGATGACTCGCGAATGTCAGCTGCTGTAGAAGGGTATATAAGCCCGTTAGATAGTTGAATAAAGTAGTTCTCAATTGTCTAGTTGAGTTTAACGTAGAATCAAAGGCGTCTAAATTCTTGTGAGTAAGGATACTGAATCTGCAGATTTTAAGTGATTTAGAGATTTATTTTACGTTATCCTTGCCACGAAGCTGGTTTGTGACAGCGGCATATCATATAATGAAGGGAGTTCTTTAGATTAGTGCTTAACGTAAAATACGAGGCGTCTACGGCATTATGCAGTCTACTAGTATAAGAAAAGTCTTCCTGATAGGGTAGATATTGCTCCCTTATATGTAGTTTAAGGAATCAACTTATTGATCCTGCATTAGATTATCTTGTTGCAGAGTCGTTTGTAACAACAACTTAGATCAACTTAATATCTAAGAGCCTACAATTATAAATGTTACAACCTCTATTTTAATTATTACACTTTTACTCGTACCAAAAGACTTTAATCTACGTATTCCTTAATGCAAATTTATTCACGGTTTTATATTCAGAATTTCACATCAGATAATCATACTAACAAATATTATTAAATCTAAATTCTTTAATATCATCTAAACTATAGCATCTTATTTACGGTAACTATGTAACCTCAACCGCGACAATTCGTTTAGAAAGCTGTACAGATGCTTAGAATTTCGCCTAATACGATATCAAGATGCAAATGAAATGCCAGGCTGGGCTAGTACTGATAGATTTACCTACTATTTACTTAACTTCAATTTAGAGAATTTTGACAGAGAAATCGCTCAGCTTCATTTTGATTATATTATAGATGATAACATGAGCTCTATTATTCCGTTAGCTGTGATATATCATTATATTTTTTATTTCATCTTCATAATTCATAATCCCTTGTGTATAGTGTATATATAGTAAGCAAATATCCTAGATGCTGCGATGAAGTTTGAACATGAGAATAAGCACTCTAAATCATTCAACAAATGTTAATGCAAACCGCTGCTGCGAAAGCGATACATATTATAATGCAAATAAACTTGCCTTATAAATCAAAAAATATAGTTATGGGTCATTCATAGTCCCTTTTCCAATAAAAATTGCAGAGTTTTTTAACGCTATATTCATCATGCGTATAGTGACCGATAAGATTTCTGAAAATATGATTGAAAGGATATTTGATAATAAGGAGTGTATCAGTATATTTTGAAACCGGCTAATAATTCGGAAAGTTCGTGAAATTTTTAGGAAACCTTTAACGTCTAGTGCCTATAAAATTATCTCAATCGCAATTTCAATATATAATAACTTTAATATGGAAACAGACACACTTTAATAATCATTATTTGAATTAGTACTCTAGAGTGCACTAAATATATCTAATCAAGACCCTTAAACTCGTTTGCAATTATTTAAAATGATAAATAAATTCTTTATGCACTTATTTTCAGTACGTCGGTCATTCTTCTATCATTACTTTAACAGGCTGAACTTCATATCGCTACCTGTAACAGGTATTGCTTGCTGTGTTCTGTATACAATTTTATTGCACAATTCAGTAAAGCTTTTCTTCGCGCAGCAAATAACAACTGTACCAAGGTTTTTAATGCTAGCAACTCAAAAGGTGCATTAATTTCGTTTTATAAATTAATTATGCCAAAAATCAGCTAATTAACATGTAACCAGTGCAAGTTCAATAAAATTTATTTCAAGATCATTTATCTGTCCGTTTGTAAAACAATAAAACTTTAATGTGTGCATTTACGTCATATATGGCAAAATATATACCGCCCCATCCGCTTGATTATTATTTGCCTGTATTCTAATAAAAATTTTTTACTAGATATAATTTAGAATTCAATTACGTCTACTAATGGCTTGTACTTGATTCTAATTCTCATGTACGATAACATATACATCAAATAAATGTGTTGGACTTTTTAAGCCACAGATCAATTTGTTCCTATTTCCTGGTAATGTTATAGAGAATTAAATTTATTGATATCTAAATAATATCAAAACTCTCTAATACATACCTTAACAAATTTTAGAATGATCTTAAAGCCTTGTACTATATTGCTTAATGTGTTAAGAATGTAAATCGTGTTTAAAGCATAAGCATTAAAACAGTTTGTTACTAGGAATTGCCGCCAATTAACAATATTATTTGATCAGCTTTGAGCTAAGATCATTCTATTTCTAGACTTTATCAGGTCTTAGATATATGTACCTTTTGCATGAATTAGTTCATAAATAGGCGAATGCGATTACTAAATTTAGTGAGTTAACTTTATTGGAAGATTTACGTTCAGAAGCGACGAAATAATTGGTAAATAAACAATTAAATAACAAGCTCAATTTAAATATATATTCGGCGGTCTATAAAGTTTAACATCATATTTAAAAATTCTATATACTAAGATTAGATAGCAATCCTTTGTTAAATCGAACGCGTTATCCATATTGTAGATAACCATTATTATCAACTAACGATGGTAAAAACATAGTGCTGTACTCCTTTGTGATACTTAATTTATCTATTCTTTACTAATCCAACAGGAAATTAAGACTTACACTGAATGTATTGATACTTGAACTTTGAATATCGCCATCACTTCGGGTACTAAAATTAGTTTCAAGTACCGGATTTATTCACCTACGTTACCTTGTATTTTTGCACGTAAAAGAATACATTTTACTGTAAAACTTGTACTAATAAAAACTCATATTGATTAACGTTTATGTTATGAGCAAGGATCTTGCAGGAAACCCTTACAATAGTTTTTACCAGAATATCGTCATCATCGACAGCATTGCCAATAATATCAAAGCATAATGCAAATGATAGATTGATGTGATAAATTACTTAGCCTAACACAAATTAGAAAAACTATAAACTGGTATGCTTTTGTTTTCATTCTCTCATTCAGACAGTCTAATCTATTGAATTGTGCATAATTTCCTCATTAATGGATGCATAGGAAGGCATAGAGAACGTCAATAATATACCGGTAATTAAGCTTTCCTATTACTAAAGCATCATGGCCAATTAGGACTTATGAAATTAGAAAGTCATATGACGTGGACTAGCTTTAAACAGGAACTGCTATTTCATCTATTGTTTTCTATTCAATTTTTGCCTAAATTATAAGAACTTACTTTCAGTTTATTTATCTACTTATAGCTTTATTGAATTTAACTTCGCCTTTACGAACTAACGCCAAAGGTAGTAAAAGTTGATTGCTTTGAAATGGACTTATTCTCATGTCTTACATGATTATAAAGGATTTTTAATATTTTAGGTTTGATACAAATTTTGTAAGTCTTTATTCTGATAAAGTTGGTAAATAATAAGCATTCCATCTATTTTTTTCAAGAAGTTGAGCGTGTTATAATAACTACCTTAAAAAATTGCTGACACAGAAAAACAAATTTCAAAATAATCCTTTGTATCAAACTAGCTGCTATCTTAAGCATCTTTCTCTAAAACATTTCGTGGAATTGGCAAGCGTCATTAGTGCTACCAAACACAAATTGCCTCGGCGAACTTGGCATCAATAAAGTCTTCTAAATACATATATATGTCATGCATCAACAAATGCAGTCTTAAATAAAAATTGCTTAAGCTCTCCTTTCGCTGTAGATTGGAAATTAACTTAGATTGCATAAATCACCTCATTAATAGTGGATTTGCTTTTTCCTCTACTTTATACTGGAAATACGAGGACACGTATACTACAACTAACATTAATATTAAGTATTAGTGACTAATATGTATTGCGATTAATCACTAAGCTTGTCATAAAGCCATTTGAAAACTTACCTGCTTTCATATTTAATCAATCTTTGCACAGAGTTCTAAAGACATTAAAAAACTTGTGGCACAAGTACCCCCATTTGTTAAAGCGAGATCGTTATGGGTTACAACATAAGCAGAATTGTTAAATCATCACTAGCGAATGAAAAAGAAGATTGCGTTCAATTTTTACTTCGATCCGGATCTCGCTATTGTGAAAATAAAGAGTTTGATGCCGCTCGATTAGAATATGAGCAAGCTTATCGTGAAATTAGCACAATGTGCTGTACGCATGATTATCGACGATTATTACGTTGCGAAGTCCAGTTAGCACTGTCAGATAGCTATCTTAAACAGAAGCAAACTGACGATGCTTACAGATATTGCCAACTTGCTGAAATGGACAGAAACTCTGTTAAAGAAACAAGACAAAGTGGTAAAGAATTTAGCGACTATCCGATAACCAAGACAATTGAACGCTACTACAAATTAATCACGGAAAATCGAGAAACATTGACTTGGAAACAGAGAATATTAAAGTATTATTACTTAGCCATTGCTGCTACCTACTGTAAAATTGGAAGCCAATGTGATGAACGATATAAGTACGATATGGCTCTATCCATTTATAAGCATGCTATACAAATTACCACTAAGGTCTTTGGGGTCTATCATTCCGCAATTGCTAAATTATATGATAATATTGGTAACATCTATTGCTGCCAAGATCAGTACAGCGATGCACTTTCAAATTATCAAGCATCATTAAATATTCGTCTGAAATTATATGGAAATAACCATTTAGACATCACACAGTCTTATGAAAATATCGGAGAAGTTTATTGCAAACAGAATCGCTACGATGATGCTTTATCAATGCATAAAATATCGCATATGATTCGACTGGAGACATTAGGAAAAGATGCAATCGATTTAGGCCATTCTAGCTATAATATTGGAAAAATTTATTGCTTACAGGAGAAATATGAAAATGCGTTAGAAATGTATCAGCAAAGTCTAGAAATTTATCGTATCAAATTAGGGGATTCTAACGTTGATGTATGCAATACCTATATTGGTATTGGAAATGTCTACTTTCATCTAGGCAACTTTGACGAAGCAATGGCCTATTATCAAAAGTCATTAACCATTGAATTAAAAATGTACGGTGAAGACAATCTGCATATCGCTAACACTTATAGTTGTATTGGAGGAGTCTATAACAAGCAGAACAAGTATGACGAAGCATACGCAATTTATCAGAAATCCTTGGCTATTCGTTTGTCCAAGCTTGGCGACGATAGTTTATCTGTAGCGCATAGTTATCACTGGATCGGAATTATTAAATATTTACAACAACAGTATGATGATGCTATGAAATTTTACGAAAAATCGCTACTTATAACATTAGAGAAATTAGGAAGTGATCACTTGGAGGTGGCTGAATTATATGATAGAATAGGCCAACTTTACCATTCACGAAGTCAGTATGATCACGCTTTTGCCTATTTTGAAAAATCTCTTTTCATAGTTATGAAAATTTTGGGAGAAGATACTTTCAAGTGTGTTTCTTTATATCGTAAAATGGGTTATTGCTATAACGAACAACATCAATTTGATGCAGCAGTTGTAATATTTGAAAAAGCAATTCGAATTCTATCCAATCTGGAAGGTAATTATTATCAAGATATTGCCGATTTATATAAAATGATTGAAAATATTTATTGGAAACAGGGAAAAGATGAATTCGCAATATTAGCTCATCAGAAATGTCAAGAAATAATAGCCTCAGAGTAGGAATTACAACTTCCTGATAAGATCATAATCTGCAGACGGATTTAATGAATAACTACAGTTATTAGATGGATTGTTGAAAACAACAGCCTATTAAATATGCCATTTTACGTCACTCTATGTATTAATTTATTCTTCACATTTATTGATAGTGTAGGATATTGCTTTTGTTATAACAGCTGCATAATAAAATTAAGTCTTGTTATGAGATTTTAAATCATTTTTTTAAGAATACCGAATATTATGATAAAATCGAGTCTTGCTATGAGATTTTACATTTTCCTTCTGAAAAAAGCAATGTCGGATATGTGACAGATTACTATTTAATAAATCTTAATATGGTAGTCAAGTAATAATTCCATGACAATTTATGTAAAAATATTCGCAATACTCTTCACCATTCTGCTTTCTATAGCATAATTATAAATTTAAGTTTGTTTTAACATTACTCTGTGCAGAATTTTATATCTCCATCTTCAATTCGAATGATATTACATTTACAATTGGACCAATAAGATATCTATTCTATTAAACTACGTTGCGCTAATCTGCAATGGCTACATATTATTATTTTTAACTCTAATAAATTAATTATTAATATTGGATGCTGAAATTTAGGCTATTCTGTGAATGAAGTTATCCGCTTAGGTATTGTTGTAATTCTTCATACATGTTAAACATTGCAATTATAGGTCAAAAGTTTTCAAATTCAAAAGTCATGTTAATTATAAGTGAGAATAATTAATTATATACAGCTCAAATATTTATTTATACTTAATATCGAGATCGTTATTGTAGAATTAGGATATTGAAGAAAACATAATATACGGGATACAGTCGTTGATCGCTAATAAATTATAGTCCTTTAAATTTGTGATTATAGTTCAAAATTTATTATGATATCATTGACATCGGTTACCGAGTCATTCTATTTTTTTTCGCTAGTTCTTGCTCTAAAGAAAGTTATGGATAATTTTATTTCGGTACAATTCATTTCATTAGCCTATATAATACCGTACGTTTTGATGCTTTTTACATTTCTGCACAATATATATATATTGAACGTAGATCTATACTCTCAGATACACACGTGTACAGCAACAATTAAGCTACTATAAACACTTCATTTATACATCGGAACATTATCATTGGAAACCTTTTGTTCATGTTTTTCAAAATGATAATGGCCAGAACTGGACAAGCGAATCTAAATAGATGTTATTTGATATTCACAAGGTGATTTAAGCTTTAATGTCAGTTTAATAGCTATAGTACGGTACTTTACTTCTCAGGTGCAATCATATGTGATTTTACACCTTTGAAAGCTTTTCAAGTAAATACGCTGCACGATATACATAGGATATATTACACGAATAAAACAAGACATAATCTTATTTTCTCGATAATTTATGTTCATTTAGAAGCTTTAAAGCTTTGCTTCAATACATTTATCCTGTTTATATCCGGTATATTGTACAACTTTCTTATACAACTATGAAACAATACTAATAAAATTATAGCAACCTTTAATTAAAAATCTTGAATTAGAAAAGTGGCTTAGACCTTTGATATACTGCTTTCCTTTTCAATGTTCTTAGTGATCGCGGCTGGTAAATAATTTTAAAGTAACGATGTAACTTCAGTCACATTGCTACTCAATTTGACTTTTGCTGACTTCAAGTAGTATCAGAATTGTGGAAGAAAAAGAGTATCTATTGATAGGCAATAAATTTTGCATAAATCATACCAACACTACATAACATTCTGGTATGGTGCTATGCACTCTTGAGCATTAAAAAGCCATAACATTTTTACCTAATAACTAATAAAAAGTGCATAAACTGATATGAGTAATACGTAATTAGCGAAGAAGTACTAGCATGTTACAAACATCAACTGAGGAATACGATTACTGCTCTATCCTTCCACTTATAAATTTCAGCAAGAACGCGATATTCACGTTACATTTTAATGTAAATAAGTTCCATTTTTTGATGAAGAATTTTAACCTTTGAATAGCTACAATCCGGATAGCTTACTAGGATATTGAGTGCTTTATGGTACGCAAATAATGCCCCAGTATAGTTTTGTTGATTGAAATAAACGTCACCAATGCCATTATAGGAGTTAGCAACAATAAAATGATTACTTCCTAATATTTTCAATCGAATATCCAGCGATTTTTGAAGGTAGAATAAAGCATCAGCATGTTTTCTTGTCTCTTGTAAGCATTCCCAATTGCTTGATAAGCTACTGCAACTCTGATATCCCTTTTATTCAACAGACTTTGTCTGATATCCAACGATTTTGGATAGAAACTCATGGCATGATTCAATTCATCTTGTTTGAAATAGATATGACCAATTGCAAGATAGCAATTAGCAATGTCCAGATTTTCTTCATCTAATAAATTCAGTCTAATTCTCAACGATTTTTTATACATAGCTAAAGCATCGTGATAGTTTTCTTGCTTAAGATAATCATTAACAAATGCGCAATATGCATAAGAAACCTGTAATTTATCTTCTCCAAGCAATAATATTTGAATCTTTAAAGGTTTCTGATGCATAACTATCGAATCAGCATACCTCTCTTGCCTCAAGTAGACATAAGCTATGCGAGAGTATATCCAAGAAACAACAAGATTATTATTTCCTAACAACTCTAACCGACATGTAAGACAGTTTTGGTACGTTGGAATTGCTTGTTCGTGCATATACATTAGAGTGTAGATATCTCCAACGTAATAATAAGAATTTACAAAATCTGCATGACTACTACTTAAGACTTGTAAACGAATTTCTAATGATAGATTAAAATTAGCCAGTGCTTCGAAGTATTGATACTGTTTTTCGTAAGTTTTGGCTAAGCAATGACATAAATCACTTATAAGTAAGTCGTTTTCACCTATAATATTCATAACAATACAGAGCGATTCTTGATACATGGCTAAAGCATCACTATAGCGTGCTTGCATATAATAAACATCACCAATCGCGTAGTATATAGGGCAGGTATAAACGTTATTCGTAGCATAAATTTTTAATCGAGTAGTCAGTAATTTTTGATAAATACTTAGAGCTTCAGCATGCTGAAGTTGCGAAAAAAGGGCATCGCCCATGGAATGATGTGAATCAACCACAGGCAAGCTCGTATTTCCAAATAATTCGAGAGTTATTTTTAAAGATTTTGGGAAATAATTTAAGGCATCATCGCATTTACCCTGAGAGTAATAGACATTACCTATGCCTGAATATGCATTTGCAACGTAACTATTACTACTACCTAGGATTGATGTTATCATATTTAAGGACTTATTAAACATGATAAAAGCATCGTAATATTTATCGCGTTTTAAATAAATGTTGCCCATGGCAAAATAAATCTCCGATACAGCTATATTAATATGGCCCAAAACTTCAATCCAAATTGTTAGACTTTCTCGCAAAATGGACATTGCTTTTTGGTAATATTTTAGATGACAATAAACTTGACCCATTCCTGTTTAAGAATAAGCTATTTCAATATTTACTTGCCTAGAATTTTTTGCTTTATATCTAGCGATTTTTGATGCCATTGAAGAGCATTGTCGTAGTTCCTTGCTCGCAAAAGATCTTACCCATATAGCAACATACAAACTATTATTACCTAACAACTTAGAGCTAATTTTAAGGCATTTTTGATACATTTGCATTGCTTCATCATTTCTTCTTTGCTCGCCATAGATGTCTCCAATGCCAAAATAGGCCAATACTGCTCGTAAACTACCATCATCCATGCCTGCTATTTTTCGACAGATATCCGAAGATATCTCGAATATGGTTAAAGCATCCATGTACTTATTTTGCTTCAAGTAAATTTCACCCATTCCAATATAGCAATCAATAACAACCAAATTATCATTAGCGGAAATATTAATAATAACAATATCCAAAGATTTTTTTATACATATACAGTGCATCATTGTATTTCTCTTGCCTACAGTAGATTAAGCCAATTAGTAAGAGTAAATTAGCCGCCTTCAAATTCTTGCTTCCTAATATTTCCGATCTAATTTTTAGGCACTTTTTAAATATCACTAAGGCATCTTTATATTTACACTGTAAAGTATAGACCTTGCCTATAGCAAGATAGGAAGACGCCATGAGTAAATAAGTATATCCTAATATTTCTAGTTTTCGATGTAATGATAACGTCTCTTCGTATTCTTCCTCATAGCGATAGGCATCGCCAATGCCTAAATAAGAGCATGGATCATAAAATTCTTTAAATCCTAATATATCGAGTCTCAAGTTCAAATATTTTTGGTATATTATAGGATCTTCATCGTATTTATCTTTTGAAAAATAAACATCATCAATGCTATGATGTTCATTTGCTGCAGCTAGGTTATTTTGTCTTAAAATATCCAGTCTAATATAGAGATTTCTGGTACATGATTAATGCATGTTGAAATTGATTTTGTGCAAAGCAAAGATGTCCTAAGGCACTATAGGTATAGGCCATGTCTAAGTGACTATCACCGAGTGCTTTAATTTTAGAGGTAGTGATTTACCGCAATAATTTAATGCTTCCGTAAACATAAGTTGGCCCCTTTTGATCTTGCCTAGACAAAGCATTTAGCGATTCTAACTTAATCATTAAGAGCTACGGCTATCATTTGTGCTTGGGAAATATATTCCTTAGCCTGCTCAAGTTGACATAATGCACAATATGTTCTAAACATATCCGCAAAAATATCAATACGAAGCTACTTATAACCTTCGATGTCATCTTTCATGGTCTTCAATTTTCTAGAGCCATTCCATATTGAAATTTTGTAATTTTAATTTCTTCTAAAGTGAAATGGCGATGGCCAGTTTTCCGAATAGTTTTTAGTTCCTGGATTATAAGATTTTCTATTGAATCTTGAAACGAAGTTTTAATATCTTTAACATGTTGAATCTCTTGCTTTCGATTGTAGTCGAGTCGATTTTAATGTTATCATCCATCGTTGATGTTGAAAAAAATTATGTTAAAAAATATTGTCAATATTTCCAATTAAATAACGAATATTTTTTTCATTAAGCCATTTATAATGTATTGTACCTTTAACTAAATATTAATGTTTCCATTTATATATATATATATAATAAGTTGTATAGGATACATGGTACAAGCAAGTAATTAGTACCGCAACATTCTGAAATTTTACTCACCAAAAAATTATTAATTTTACTTGTTTCACTTATATTCTGGACTCAATCTCAATTCTCGTAGATGCATTATTGACCCCTTAAGATTCTTCCCATATTTTAACAATGACCGACTATAATTCCATTTATGTTGATCAAAGGTTTGGTATTGTAATGTTTAAAATAGATTAAAATATATTATTGGGCCCTGGCTCATGATGAAACAGTGAAATATCCAAGATTGTTAATTTCTGAACCTAACGTAGTAGCAGTGAGGCTATTGCAGGGATCTATATATAGTAAAATTATAATAATACCTTCGCTAGGTCACTAGCTGAATCAAAATTTGATAGAAACTGGAACGATCGATTTTCTGTATAATATTGTACTTCATTCAGAGGATGCATTAGTAGAATTGTTGAATATGCATACATTACAAGCTTCGATCACATTGATCAATAGAAATTTGCTGTATTATTTTTAAATATGTTCACAAGCATGCATTTATCATCTCTAGCAGCTACTAAGCAATTTAATGGGTCTATGTATAATTTATAATCGAATAGACATAAATTGGAGCAGAATCAATAAAGACCATAAACATTGTTGCTTGTACTTCCTTTAGTTTACTACCATTATTGTTGCTTTCTATATAGTCTATATTCTTCCAATTTCTATTTGAGTAAAGTAAGTATTATATCAAATAATTATAGGTTTTATACTATACTAATTTTAACAATTGTGCATCAATGGAAATGTTAATTTGGACAATTTATCGCTGAAGTGAATCTGTAGAGTAGAAGTATGTTGCTAGATTGCATTTATAGGCATTATTCGATAAAGTAGCGTTTTATTATCATTCATATTTTATGTTTATAATCTATCCTGCTATTAGCAACCAGATGTTTCATAAAGGATTAAACTATAAAGTTTTCTTCATGCCCATTAATCTTAAAATTACCAAAATATATTATTCTTCTTGACCGATTTTTACTTACAATTAGATAGTACCTGTTATGTTCTATTTATTGATTGATCGTATAATTGAGTTTATGTAGTTTTGGTACTATTTTCATCTTTGCATTGCTATTAATACTTAATTTAACACGCTTTTATGCACTCCTCTATCTGAAAATTATCAAAGCTATTATCTTCTAGGTATAATCATTCTATATCACTTTCAATCTTCAAAGTACTGAATAAGAAAACTCAAAAAGAGATAATTAGTTCAAACTCATACAGTAAGGCAACGTGCTTCTTTTAGCCATTGCAATCATTGACGATGATGTGAGTGCTTACTCAATTACAATGCAGCAGACAATTTGGATGTTTGTCTCGAATTAAAATTATGACCTAAATAAATCAATTCTTTATGAAGAAATAGTTTATTAAGAAAGTATACATCGCATTACCTTTATCAAAGAACTCTTTACACTGATATAGGCTCTCTTAATAAATTTTAAGTAGTTTGGATCATAATCTACGCGTGCTATAGATATCCGTTAAAAATTTTAGCATCTAGAACAGAATTTTACGATGAATAATCAAACTTTTATGTCTTTCGTAGAATTTTTTCCAAGCAGACTTTCTGTAACCCGTTATCGATCAGCAGAAATAATAAGCATAAATAAATAATAGATTCCTGTATTTGACAAGAATAATATCATCGTAATCTAGGATAGTTATTCTATGCTTAGTTCACATTATACGACTTAAGTTTGCTAATGGTAGCAGCCAAAAGCTATTATAGTCATAATAGCAGTTATATTTCAAAGACTTTAATATCGGTATACGATGATACAATACAATCACTTCTTGAATGTATAAATAATTATCTAGTTGCGATCAATGCAACTAGTGTAGTTGATTATGCTTTTTCGGTACAACAGTTACAAATCATTATTAAAATTTTTATTAGCTGCCGGCATTCTTTTCATCTAAAAGATACAGGGTCTTTAATAGTATGAAATTTCAATTTATTCAATATTTTATTCCTACACTTTTATGATTTGTGCAGTACGACTTAAATCGAGTATAACCACTAAGCACTATAAATCAGCACGTTTCTGGATCTCTATTTTACCTATAAATTGATCATATTTTCTCCTATATATGCATTACAGTAGTGTCTCATGCTTTAAATTGAATGCGTGCAAGATTTACTATCTGATCATTATCTTTAAATAATATAAATAAAATTTTATAATATATCATATGCTTAACAAGCAGTGTCATTGAGATTATGTTGCTAAAATATTCTTTACAGTAATGAATTTCCAAGTATTATATAGCAGCCGGAAGAATTTCCTAATCCGGTTGTGTTATATTTGACTTTAAATATCGGCATATGTGATCCTTTAGTTATGAATTTGTGTAATTTTTCGTGAAATAAGCAATTCTTCATTAATCTGTGTAACAAACGAGCTTCGTGACAAGGATAACGTAAAACAAATCTCTAAATTACTATAGTCTCCGGGATTCAGTATCCCTACTTACAAGAATTTAGACGCCTTTGATTCTACGTTAAACTCAACTAGACCAGTGAGAACTGCTTTATTCAACTATCTGACGGGCTTATATACCCTTCTACAGCAGCTAACATTCACAAGTCATCTTATAAAAATACTTAGGTGAGAACATCTACTAACTAGATTTTCATAGTCGGACTACAATATGTCCATTCACAGAATCATTTCAGTACACATTACAGCACAGCAATAAATTTACTGTAACACATTTATAATTAGAGTAATTCCTATTGTAAGGAACTAGATGTAATATATTGTCACTATATTATATTAACCAAATTTAGATAACTATTTCTTCACGGTAGTTCGTACCGTGACAATCTGTTACGGTGTTGCCTTGTCATTAGGATAGTTTACTAAGTACAGTAGTAGCTAGTATGGAGAATATCCATATTTGTAGTGCTAGGTAAGATAAGTAATGCCTTAACGTGGATGTTGTTTGTAATAGTTCATTACATACTTGATATTGATTGTTATGGTGTGACAGATAGCAGTAAGATGATTCAAGTTCTAGTTGATGATAGTTGAATTAGACCACCTGCGAGCTTAGCTTAGATTAAGTATGAGTAAGAGATTCAAAATATTTACTGATAGAAAAGCTAAGTAAGGAACATCTCACTTCGCGATGTTTTCCTAGTAAGGTATAACAATAAAGCTGTTGTTGTTTACAAATTAGACGGTTCCTATATAAATGGGAACATTTGAGTTCAGTGTGGTAAAAAGTTGTAGATGTACAATATCTGTGCTAATAAAATTTTCGTCTTTACAGTCTTTTGCTGTGTGTGTTTAACGTTAAGAAAAAAGGGCGCTTGAGTCAGTAGCTAGTTATAGACTTTTACTGTACGTTACCTTGTCGCAGAAGTGAAATTGTGACATAATCATTTATAGAGTTGTAGCATACATTAATTGTCCTCAGTTAGACTTTCAGTTAGCATTGGAATTACAAACTCCACTTTTTACTTAAATTATTATTGGCTAATTAATATCTTTTAAATTGAAGTATCATCTACTTATGGAACGCCTACGAATTCACAATTGTGGCAATGCCATTTGAGATAAAATTGGAGCTACCTGGTAGACTTTTCACTAATCACGTATATTGCTTACTAACAATAAAACTAAATAGCTGTAATCTACGACAGCCACATAACATTGGTAAATTATAATCAAAGACAATATTAGAAATTAAGTAACATTAAAATCAGCAAATAGTAGGATAAACACTGATCATGATAGTTCTTATAAATATACAGGCCTAGCAAAAAATGTGCATTATATTCAAAATTACCATCGAGTTATGATTAGTAGTCCTAAAAATTTACGTATGGGGATTCTCTTCCGATACTTATTATAATTAGAATGGATTTATATCATAAATTTGTTTTAAATTCCTAGTTATGATACACCGATACAAAATTTTAGCAATTTATCACTTGGGATAGTTTGCATCTGCTGTGACACATTCATTCTTGAAATATCATCGATTATAGAATATAGAATACTTATCGTATACTAACATCTACCAATGATAATGATTCATTTGGCATTTAGCTAGACGCTTGAAATTCTTGATTGAACATAATATCTACTTCATTTGAGTTCCAAATTCCATTTAATAAACGACTACAGCGTAGGACAACAAAATTTTTATAAGTAATTACCTTTTTGATGTAAATTGATTCCAAAGTCAAGAAACATAGCCTCGGTAGTATGATTGAGTTATAAAACTTAGATACGTAAACCCATTTAATTAAGAGTAGTTTCTTCACTAATTGACGAATTTATGGTATCATCACATTCCTTTCCTTCCTCACTTTCTTCTATTGGTCTAATAGAAACTATTTTAGAAATATAAAATTACAAATCAATTATTAGTTTTCGAGAGTGTTGATGAAATTTTCAAATTTCAATTGTCTATCAAGTTAAGTTACCTTGATAATCACCGTCATACTTAATTGAAGTGGGTGCTGTCAATTCCTGCATTATTTTTTTGTCTAGAATAACTTTACCATGGCTAGAAAATGCCAAACGTAATACGCTAGCTTTGACGTATTTGCGCTGTTTTTCAAACGCTTTACTCAGCTTGTTGTATAAAGCAGTAATTAAAGGATGATTTCTAGCGAAATTTCTCAAGGCAATCTTGAGCGATTTTTGATATAATGTTGAGGCTTCTTCGTACTTGCATTGTGCAAGATAAACATCAGCAATACCATAATAACTTTCGCAAATCTTAATATTATTTGAACTTAGTTTTGCTTGACGAGTTTTTAGCGATTGATTAAACATTGACACAGCATATTCTAATTTATTTTGAGCAAAATAGACTTCTCCAATCCCGTGATAGGAATCAGCAACGTATAAGTGAATATCACCTAAAATATTTCGGGTCATGGCTTGACATTTTTTATAGAATTTTAATGCGTCGCGGTATCGATTTTGCTGTGAGTAAATGTGAGCAATATGATAATAAGACGAGGCAACACGAAGATTTGAATCTCCTAATACCTGTAATCGAATTTCTAAAGACTGATTATATTTATTTAATGCATCGTCGTATAAATTTTGCTGAGCATAAACATCTCCAATACCTTCAAATGCATTGGCAACCAGTAAATTATTGTCACCTAACAATTTTAAAGGAATATCAATGCATTTTTTATACATTTCTAGAGCGCTCTCGTACTTTCCTTGTTTACAATAAACCTTTCCAAAATTACGATATATCCGAGAGACGTGGAGACTATCGTAATCTATAGTGTTAAGAGTGACATTTAGAGATTTCTGATACGTTAATAGAGCATCGTTTAATAAGTCCTGCTTCCAGTAGATGTTACCTATATCACAATATAAGGAGCCAATTTCTAAATGATTTTCTCCTGTTATAGCCAGTCGAATATGTAGTGCTTTTTCATAATTGAATAAAGCCTCTTTAAATTGATCTTGCTTGTACAAGACTTTTCCAATGCGATAGTAGGAATAAGCAGCGTAAGGGTTTTCCTTTCCTAAAATATCTGTTGTTAACTGAAATGATTTCTCGTACATTGCCATAGAATCATTATAGTTTTCCTGTGAGTAATAAACGTTTCCAATGCCATGATAAGAAGATGCAATATGTAGATTATGATCACCGAATAATTTTATTTTAATGTCGTAAGATTTCTGATACATTACCAAAGCATCTTGGTAAAGGTCTTGTTCCATATAAACATTGCCGATACCATGATAGGAGTTAGCACTATTCAGATTATTCATACCCATGATATCTATCGTAATATCTAACGATTTCTGGTACATGGACAGAGCAAGATTGTACTTCGCTTGTGAGCAATAAACGTTACCTATGCTGTGATAAGCCCCTGCGACGTCCATATTATGACTTCCTAGTAATTGCATGCAAATATTAAGTGACTTTTCATACATTTCCAGAGCACTACTATATTTACCCTGATGATAATGAATATCACCAATTCCCATATATGTACTTGCAACACCTAAATTATGATCACCAGAGATCTCTATAGTGATATCGAGAGATTTGTGATACATGGATAGAGCATCATCAAATTGAAGTTGAGAGTTATGAATGTGCGCAATATAGTGGTAAGAATCAGCGATATCGCAATGTTTTTCACCAAGTAATCGTTTTCTCATCGATAAAGATTTTTGATACATAGCTAAAGCTTGCTCATCTTTTCGCTGATAGTAATAGACGTGGCCTAATCCATGATATGAATTGGCAATTTCAATATGATCTGTATGTCCAAGTAGGTGAATATGTAAATCCAATGACTGTTGATACATAGGTAATGCATCTTCGTATTTATCTTGCCTCCATAAAACATATCCTATACTATTGTAAACTTGAGCCACTTCTAAATTTTCCTCACCTAAGTTTACCCTCTTAATATTAAGAGATTGTCGATACATAGATAATGCCTTGGCATATAGAGTTTGAGAATAATAAATATCACCAATGCGATGAAAAAGATTGCTAACATCGAGATGATTTTCTCCCAATATATCAAGTTTATAGTTAAGCGCTTTTTGATAATTTTCTAGAGCTGTATCGTATTCATCTCGCTGCCAGAAAATGTTTGCTATTCCTTGATATAAATTTGCCACCACTATATTATCTGTTTCTAGTAACTTTAATCGTAGATTCAAAGATTTTTCATAGACTACCAATGCTTCATCATATCGATCTAGCTTTCGATAAACATCTCCGATCTGATGATATAATGTAGCTATGTCAGCATGAGCATCATCCATTAACGCCAATTTCATATCCAGAGCGTCGTGATAATGGGATAAGGCATCGTTATATTTAGATTGTGAATAGAAAATATTGCCCATTTTATGATGTATTTCAGTTGTAGCAAGATCATTTGATTCTTGTAATTGCAATTTAATTTCTAATGACTTTTGATACATCGGTAGAGCACAATAATTCTGATTTTGGGAATAGTAGACATCACCAATGAGGCGATAAAGATGAGCGGTATTAATATTATTGATCCCTAACTTTTCCAGGCTAATATTTAACGATTTCTGAAACATTAAAAGAGCACCATCGTAGTTATTCCATTTATGATGCAGATTTCCTCCTTTTTGATATAATTTAGCCACTTGTAAATGATTATTACCTAGTGATTCTGTTGCTAGTTGAATCGATTTCTCATATTTTGCCGAAGCAGTATCAAAATTATTTAATGCATCATAGATATCTGCAATTTCTTGATAAAGATCAGCGATCTCGATACCTTTATCTCCTAAATTTCTGATGCTAATTACAAGAGATTTTTCATACATTTCTAAGGCTTTATAATAATTAAATTGTACGTAATAAATAAATCCAATGCAATGGTAAGAATATGCCACATCCAGATCATAGCTTCCGAGAATGGCTATTCGTATATTAAGCGATTTTTTATGCATATCCAAAGCATCAGAATAGAGCTTTTTCTTTTGATAAACTTGGCCAATACAACAGCATGAACTTGCAATCAATAGATTTTGGGGTCCTAGCATTTCTAAAGTAATAGCATAGGATTTTTGATAGAATGCTAGTGCATCACTAACTTGATTTTGTTTACGATAAATATTTCCTATAGCATGATAGAGCTCAGAAAGGTGCAAGTTATTATCCCCTAATATGCTGATCGTCATATTCAGAGACTTTTGATACATCGACATTGATTCCTGATAATTTTTCTGTGAATAAAGTATGTTTCCTATACCACGATATGAATTAGCAACATCTAGATTATGATCTCCTAATAATTTTAATCGAATGCGTAGCGACTTTTCGTACAACTCCATAGCATTATGGTAGCTATCTTGCTTCCAATAGATTGTGCCAATACCATCATAGGAACTGGCTACTTCTAAGTTAACATCCCCCAATAGCCGTATTCTGATGTTGATGGCCTTATGATGCATAGAAAAGGCATCTTGAAACTTGCGTTGTGAAGTATAAACATCACCGATGCGATGATAAGTACTCGCTATATCTAATTCATTGCCATCTAAAGCTTCTAATCGCAACTTGAGGCATTGCTTATACATGGATAATGCATCATCGTATTTTGATTGCTCCCAGTAGGCACTTCCAATTCCATGGTAGGAATGAGCAATATCTAAATTTTTGTTTTTATAGTGAGATATTTTCGATTTGAGACTTAACGATTTTTCATACATTGATAATGCAGTATCATATTTAGCTTGCTTTAAAAAAATATTGCCTATACGATGATAAGAATGAGCTATTTCTAGATCATTTTCTCCTAGTAATACAATTTTAATCTCAAGAGACTTATAGTACTCAGCCAGTGCTTCTTGATATTTATTCTTCATTCTATAAATACGACCTTGGCAATCACAGCACTTAGCAGTACGAATTTTATCTTTCATTAGCTTGGCAATATCTGCCGCTTGCTGGCAGTAGTGACTAGCATTGCTGTATTGTCGTTGCTCTGCATAAGTGCGAGATATATCGTTGTAGATATCACACATTAACTGTGGCTTGTTTGAAATTCGATTGCTAATTTTCTGCACAATATCTAATGCTTTTAGATAAGCCAGTCGTGCTAAGACATAGTGCCCTCTCTTAAAGTTTTCATGACCAATTTGGCGCAAAAGTTGGATTTGTCGATCCCTTGTCATCGCTGGAGTTGATTTAGCAAAATGGCTTAGCCCTGCACCCATGATGAAATGCCTAAAGTTTTAACTACAACTATAATAGTAATTATGATAATTTTATTTTAGATTCATTAAAATTACGGATTTCATTTATTAAAATTTGTGATAGGAATAGTTTTTAAGTAAAGAAATTTAACTACGACAATGACTAATAAAAACTAAATAACTAAATGTTATCGAACTTAATGTATTATTCCAATAAATTACTAAATTTTTTACATGTCTATGCCATAAACACCCTAATTTTATTTATAAAAATTATAATAAAGCATATATCTTACCTCAATTATTTTAAGTTCAATTTCAAGATGCTAAAATTTCTATCTTATTTCATAACTATTTATTGAGAATAAAAGGAATAAAGGTCTTATCGTCTGCTATATGGAGGTGATTGTCTGGCTTTTCCTAGCGGAGTAATCAATCATTATTAATCAAATATGCTGTACAGAATTATTTATGAATGATAAAATTCGTTTGTTTCAATATGGTACAATAAATTATTAAAATCTAGAAAGTTTCTACTGAAAAATTGTTCTAGATCTATGCAATATTTTTAAATTTGAAACCTCTTATTTCCTATTATTTTACTTATAGAACGATGTAAATCTCTAGAAAAATTATCATTGATTTACAATGCAAACATTTGCAGGATAGAATACATTTGAATTGCTTCAGTATGTGATGATAATTTCGCCGCATGATGCCTTGCAGGATTTAAATCAGCGCATACCGGGTCTTAGAAGATATCGGGAGTTAAAGAATCGACTTCTATTATCCTTTCTCCAGTATGTTTCAGTAGCATTCAATGCTTAAGCTTGCAATCCGTTAATACGCATTTTAGAAGGTTTTATGTAGTCCAAATACGTAATTGAAATGTTTGGCTTGATATTAAAGTAGTATGATACCGGTTGCTTCTACAATGTAATAGTTACAGTATAAAATCTTGAATCAGAGTCTAAAATGGTGCCTTGAAAATTATTCACCCAAAATCAGTTAGAGAAGATTACATTTTAAGCTCGAGCCACAAATGTGTGGCCCTATAAATGGTTTTCTTTTAAATGTATAATATCTCTATTATTTCGATGTAGGCTCTATCTCGGATTCTATGAATAGTTTATGAAACTGATTGAGTAAGCAATGTTTACATTAAAAGCAGTATATAATTAATATGCAAAACTTTTTTTGTTTTTCTATCATTATAATTACGCAATCAAGTGAAACTTGATTCCACCTTTGCCTACAAAAATTAATAAAGTGTAAATACTATGTAAATTATTTATGACTAACATAAATGAATTAAAATCGAAATTGTGTTTAGTTAGACGTATTATTGCTACAATATCAGATTAAAATATTTCCATTAATTTCACCGGCATTTAAGGTGGATTATAACGTCAGTAATCGCATAAGAATCTGTGATAGAAATAAAATTTGTAGACTTTAATTTGTGCATTTACAATTGGAAGGACTAAACCAATATAAAATTGTTTTATATTAGGCTACGCCATCTTTGCAAGGTATCCGTACGATAGTTCTATCGATTTAATTCCTTACATTATTATTAACCAAGTCTTTTATCAACTTCTTTTATGATATTGAAATCTTACTAGTTTTTCATTTTATATCGGTTACGGTTCGGTACTTAAAGTATAGGATTTGTAAGTTTAAATGATGCTCCTATTTCGCTGATCGAATCACATCTTTAATACCTGGAATTGGTTGCAGTTAGTAAACTGTAAAGAAATCAACTTGAAGTTTCATCGGTATAAAATTACTCAGTTCATGCTTTCTACTTTTCCAGCGCTTAGATACTGAAAATGTCATCATGAAATTTATCAAGAAATTTGTTATTATTAATGTTTTAATTTTAATTATATTGTAAGTAAATATACCTCATTAATTTCTTACAGTATTACCACTAAATAATTTATACTCCAATTAAAATGCAATAATGGCAATTTTTGTATTCGATTATGAACTATAAGATCCTTCGATCATATTACTTTGTAAAGTCTGATATCAGTTTTCGGAATAAACACAAAGCGAATATTATACAAAGTTATATGAATAACCGCTACTAAGCCATTATAATTATTTCAAGATATCTTTAATTGCAACAAATTGTAGAATATATTTCAGTTTTATTATTAAATGAAGGAAATCATTCCTTTTTCATACAGTATTTCAATTCAACGTATTTTTGTGCATTTTACTGGTGCATGGGAGACTGTAATGCGCTGTATTGCATTTGATACCTAATATTCTGCTTAATTGTATTAATACTCACGATATAATTATCATGGTTTGCATTCTTAGCTTACTCTTATAACTGACTTCATTGTTACAAAATGCAAAGATTAAGACTTACCATACGGTACTATTTTAGGTTAATTTAATATGGCGAGAAACTTGAGCTGGTTTGTCCATGTGTTAGAGCTACTGTTTAATTCATTAGTTAATTAATTCTCTAGGAGTCTTTGTGTGGTTGTATTATTTGGAACATTAATCGAACCACAAAATCATTACAGAAAGCTATGTATTCGAATTAAAAATTGATTGCATAGTACAGTTAGTGAATATATTTCTCAATTTCTTTTAAAGAATCGTCATTAACTTTTACGTTTAGATTGCATGCCATCAGTTACATTATTAATTGTTCTCTACTTTGCTGTAATCATCCACACAGAAGAAATCTTTTTTTTATCTTCAAGCAGTTAATTAGCTTCTACCGGACTTCATCCGATAATTACCTTTATTACCTGTTCTCTACTTGCTTGTAATCATTTAAACGGAACGAATTTTTTCATTGCCTTAACGTTGATTAGTGAATGTATTAGAAATGAATTAGCTACGATTTAAGATATCTGAATATTGAGCATTTAATCCCATTAAAGGAGTTAATTGTAACGCATTTGTATTTATCAATAGATATAAGGACATGCCTTTGTCAATTTAGCAGTTCCACGGAGGGAAATTTACTTGAACTCATAAATGCTAAATAGTATTTTAATGTATGATTCAACTAATTTTCCTGTTGACCCGACATGGGTTATTGAGAAAAATAAAAAACATTTCATTTTTTATCGAATAATAGAGAAATTTAAATATATAATTATAGTGTTCATAGTTGTGCGTAAACGCGTAAGAACTAGAACATTTACTAGATAAAGGCATTAGATGACTAGCTAGGAAAGAAGGCCTTACTCCTAAATTAGTCAGTTGTGAATTTTATACCCTCGAGAGGAAAGAGATGGCTACTTGCAGTAAAAAATTGATCTCACAGAAGTATAAAGCTTATACAGATTTCCTTTGTCTCCTCAATGAAGGAGATAAAAATAGCTGCAGCAGGATTAAACCTATGCCAATTCATACGGTAGCATTTTTACAAGCACTGACTCATATTTCTGAACATACAGTACTATTTAAATGTTACTACCATTAGCAAGTAAGATTTTGATATAAGACCTTAAAACTCAATGGAGCATCCACTTAACATAGTATAGACAAGATAAGCACTATATTAGAACTTTTGTGGCTACACAATTTCAATTAATTTTCAAGGTATTTGCTACTTTTTCTCAGTAGCCGGTGATTGTTATTATTCTAATTAGATGAAACATCAAAACACTTATTTGATGAACACATAGCTTTTACTCTTGCAAGCGTTGTATTTACAAATTGATCTTCCATCACTAAGTGTCTAAAATAGTTATGCTGCACCCTACAGGATAACGCCGTGATAGCTTCAAGGAGATCTGAGACCAAACACAGCTCGTAAATATTATCCATAGAATTCTGCGATAACCATAAACATCCTAAAACAGTACCTATGCAAATATTGTACTGCTTTATTTAGATGTACGTTAACATACTATAGTCACTAGACGGCAAAGACAAATTCTAATCCTATACAGTCATCTGCTGACAACTTTAACTGCTTGCAATTATAAGATGAATTTTACAAGTCTGTGGCTCATTCAATTTCAAGGTTTGGATTAGATATTTTTATTATCGTTTTTGACCTCCTCGCATTTAACCTTAAAATCATAATCCACTCTTAGCTTGCATTTCTTTTATCAAGTCCGGTACTATAGTAGCTTCTTCCATATTTTCTACTGTCATGTAGTAATTTGCTATTGTCTTATATCAATTAATTATCTTGGTAGAATCCTCATTGGCATAATGGCTGTATATCTCTAAAGAGGATTGCAACTCCGACAGAACATCACTATATTTCTATTGGAAACAGTAGCCAGTCGTTAAGTAATCGTAGGCATCAGCATGCACTAAAGTACATCCTTTTGAGCACTCACAAGAACAATTTGGCATTAAATGCTGCTATCGCATCAAGTTTTTTCATGCCAAAATAATTACAGCCAAAAGCATCATAATAATCTAATAATCCCGCACTAACCATTAACTGTATCTTCTTAAAATATTTATCTAATGTCTAGTTCATTTTCTAGTAACTCTGCAGTACTATCGTAATTATTGTTAGCCACAGCGACCAAGCCCAGGGACAGATATAGCGTAGCAAAATCCCTGTCTTATTCTTCTGAATTTACTTGACCAATTTCTAGCTATTTTGGAATACTGCTTTGGCCTGTTCTGACTCTTCCATTGACATATAAGTCTTTCCAATGTCATGATAAGCATCTACAACTGATAAATCAGGGTCTTTGAGTGGTGGCGGTTGCAATGATTTCAGTTAAATGTAGTAGTACAGTAGGGTGACTAATAGGAAGAAACAGTGCACTTGTACTGTTTCGAGTAAAGACTGGGATTCTCCAGTTAATGCCGTATCTGATAGCCAAATATAAAATTTGGGTTTACGTAGGCGAACCAATAGTAATAGCAGGAGACCATCACTGGGTACGAAATCAAAGGAAGCTTTTACTTCATTTAACTTTTCTACTTCTAAATATTGTCTATCCAAACGAAAATGTATCTCAGCAACCTTATCATATTTTTTCCAAAATGCTTTATGAAGATATTAAGCACTTCTCATAAGTAAAAATAGCTAATTCATTTTCATCCAAGCCTTCATGGCTTACACCTAGTTCAAAATAAGTGTCACACTGCTTGAACTATCCACAGCATAAATGTAGCCCTAATTTCTTGGGCTTTCTTGTACACCTTTATAGCTTCTTCGTAATCATGCAAATAATATAAATTGCCAATCTTACATTAGAGTTTTCCTAATGACTATAAATAGTTACAAACTGAAATTATACATTAGCGACTTGTAAACAATTTTCGTCCTGTTTTGCTAATCAAATCTTAAGAATCTATTCTAGAAGTGATTTGGCTGCATGTAGTCGCCTTCATTCATTCAAATGCTTGCTAGATTCATATAAGAATGAGCAATAGGTATATTATTTTCTGCAACGACACTTATTTTTACGTTCAGACTTTTCTCATATTTTTCCTAGGCGTCGCTATCTTTTCCTTGTAGCATCTAATATCTCCGATTGAATCATATAGCGACGCAATAGATTAATTTTGATCTCCTAATACTTTTAATCGCATATTTAGAGCAGTACGTAATTGTCACAAATTTGTCTTTGTGATCGACTGAACTAATTTACTAGCTACTTAACGAGTTCCTACTAACTGAGGAGGTAAAGCAATACTGCAAATTAGACTGACTACAGCCTCACAAGTACTATAAACAGCTAGAAGTTTGTGTAGCTTTTTAATAGTCATTATTCTAAGTGTATGCAAAAAGTATGAAACTTCGTGTACAACTAGGAGATAGTAACTGAGCAATTAAAACGTTACATTATCAGTAGTTTAATATGATAAGACTGACTATTAATAAGCTATTTTTTTTAATTAGTATTTTAATTAATAGTATAAGTGTTCGTTAGTAGCACGTAATATGTAGTGACTATTAGTAATTTAGTATGGTGCAATATTAACAAACATTTTTATATTTAACCAATAGTCTAAGTGTTCGTTACGAGCTTAAAATATTTAGTGTTATCAGTAATTTAATATGATGGAATCTTCATAAGGCATTCTATAGCTGTAGATTTACTTTATTCATTGCGACTGTAATCAAAGATGCATCTTTGCAAACTTCAAATTCAATATTTTTAATAAACAAGAATTTTCTAAGAACTTTTAAATACATCCGCAGTAACTTACTATTTAACTTGTTTTAATTATACCAAAAATCTGTGATTATTGAAGAAGCGATTCAAGATTAGCTGGTCTCGAAAGTGTTCTCACTGCACGTCTATGGTTTTCTTATAAGCCTTCATTATTGAAAAGAAAGCCCTTATGGATGTACTGTACTACTCTATTCCATATGCATAGACACAACAAAGTCACTAGATCATTAACAAAATCTCAACACCCTAAATTATCGATTGGTAACTTCAGTAAGGTGCAATGATAAACTAAAATTTGAAGATAAAATTTACCCTATAGTTAACTCTGTAATGATATCTTCTTTAAGTAGCGTAAAGTATTTTAAGGTAGACGATGATAGAAGGTATAAAGGATTTTATTGAGATACAAGTTACAGGCTAACAATGATATGGTTGTTATAGATAAGGTATTTGAGATAGCAGGAATGTAGGAACTGACTAACGAGTTAGCGTACAGGGGTATTTATAGGTTTTAGATGGGATTGAGATAAAGTCTTTATATGTATAGCATGTCGTCTATATGTAGTCATGATGTCGTACATTATGAATGTAATACAATACAGTACTTAAACGGTATATGATAAGTATTCGTATATTAGGATATTACTATACTAGGCATCTTCTATATAAGATCATAATGTTACAAACTCTATTGCACTTACTGTATTATGTGAAATACAATGATAGCATAAGAATCATAACAAACTCTCCTTTAAGGATTAGAATAAAATTTTGTAATGGTAATTATGATCTTTCTGTTATTCTTCAAAAGATATTCCACTTTTAGCTTCCAACAGTTTTAAAAAGCTCCGCACTTTATTAGCTTCTTCAACATTGTTCAATTCTAAGTGGCATTTTGCCATGGTCCTGTAGGTATTAATTACCTTCAGTGGATCATCATTTATATAACGCCAGTTTATTTTGAAGGCTAATTGCAGCTCGGATAGAGCATCGCTGTACCTATGCTGTTGATAGTATGCAGTTGCAAGATGATTGTAAATATCAGCAGCTTTTAGTGTATCAACGTTTTCATTAGAAATAAGAACATCTTTTGCTTTATTAAACGCTGTAATTGCAGCATCCCATTTCTCTAACGCGGCATAATTGCAGCCGATAGTATCGTAAAAAAGAAATAATTCTTCTCCACAGGGATCGCTTTCCAAAACATTCAACATAATGTCTAATCCTTTCACTAGCAGCTCTGTAGCCCTATCGTTATGATTTTTAGCTACAGCAACAAAGCCCATCCACAGATAGAGTTGAGCATAATCTACGTTTTCTTCTTCTGAATTTGCTTGACGAATATCTAACTCTTTTTGAAAGAATTTATCAGCCCTTTTTGTATCCTTTAATGCCAAATGAGCCATTCCGATTCCATGATAAACTTCTGCTAGTTGTAAATTATCGTCTCCCAATAACATGAGTCGAGTAGTTAGAGCACTTTCAAACGAAATCAAGGCTTCATTTTGCTTTTTTATTTCTAAATAAACCTTCCCCAATCGGTAATAGGTCTCTGCAACCTTTTCATGATCTTTTCCGAAATGCATTATTAAGATTTTAAGACACTTCTCATAATTAGAAATAGCTAATCCATTTTTATCCAAGCTTTCATAGCTAGCACCTATTTCAAAGTAAGTCTCACCCACACTCGGGCTATTTTCGCCATATAATTCAGCCCGAATTTCTAGAGCATTTCTATACATCTTTATAGCTTCTTCATAATCATCTAGTGAAAAATAATAATCGCCAATAGTATGATAGCAAACAGCTACATATGTATGTTTATCTCCTAAAACTTCTTTTCTGAGATTTATGGCTTTATATAATAGCTCTTTTGCAGTATCGACTCTATCCTGATCGATCAAATTCGTTCCCATATCTAGATATATATCAGCTAGATTCACACTCTTTTCTCCGGCAATATTTTTTCTAATTTCTAAGGCTTTCTTGTACAAAGTTTCTGCTTCATCAAAATCATCCTCATGACGACAAATTATTGCAAATTGAAAATATATATCCCCGACTTGTAAACTATTTTCGCCCCATTTAGCTAATCGAATCTTAAGAGCCTTTTCTAGAAGTGATTTTGCTTCATCATAGTTGCCTTCATTCACTCGAACGCAAGATAGACGCATATAAGAATCGGTAATATGTATATCATTATCTCCAACGATACTTATTCTCATGCTCAGACTTTTCTCATATATTTCCAAGGCCTCGCTGAATTTTCCTTGCTTACACTTAATGTCTCCAATTGAATCATATAGTGATGCAATAGATAAATCTTGATCTCCTAATATTTTTAACCGTATATTTAGAGCAGTATCTAGGTTTGATAAGGCTTCATCGATTCGTTGATATTCAGCATATAGTAAACCAATACGCGAATAAGAATCAGCAACTTGTATATGGTTCTCCCCTAATTCTGTTAACCTAATTTTTAGCGCTTTCTCGTTGTACTCTATAGACTCTTTAACGAAACTGTAGCAACTATACACATCACCAATGCCTTCATAAGTATCTGCAATTTCAGTTGTATTATCTCCAGTCGCTTGTAGTTTTAAATTAATTGCGGTTTTATAACTGTCTATAGCTTCTTGAAATTGATACTTCATGTTTTCCGTAAATCCTCGATTATCGAAACATTTAGCTATCCTTATGTCATCTTTTAAAGTCTTTGCAATTTCTTCTGCTCGATTACATAAATCAAAAGCTTGTTCGTAACGATATTGCCATGTATAGCAAACAGCAGAATCAAGAAGTAAATCGCAAAGGAGCTTATTTCGATCGTCTAACTGGTCAGTGATTGTTTGAAGTTTAGTTAATGCATCATGAAAACAAGCTAAAGCCTGATCATCCAGCTCTTTATATACTAGTAATAGTCCTTTTTGTCGTTGTCCTTGAATATCTTGAATTTTAGAGCTATCCATTGTTATTAATTCGACGAATGCTTTAATTAACAACTTTAGTCGCGTATAAACTTAGGAATAATAAATTATTAGTTCCTGTTTCCAAAATTGATGAGTAAAATATTATAATCCAGCAGGCTGTGACCTTAATCTGATAATTGTAGTCTATATCTAATTAAGGAATATCATTTTAACTTATGATATGTTTTGATAATTATGCACCAGTTACTCCTTGAATTTAATACTTATAATCATACAACTTGAGCTTGATTGATGTAACATCGTCATGAGCTATTAAATTCTAATCACAATACATAATTGGACCATGTGGTTGTTAAGATCGTATGATGTACCTTACCAACGAAGCCTTATTGCTTTATCATATGCCGCCATTTTTACAATTAACTCTCACCAGATATGACCTTGAGCATCAAACAGAAAAATATGTTACCGATCCCTATAAGTAAATTCATATTGCAGCACTCGGTCGTTAAATTTGATTACTGGTTCACGTGACACGGAAGATATACATGGTAACAATTCTTTGCATTCGAATTAACTAATTTGCTATACAGGCTATGATAATAAATCCATAAGTTAACTACGAGGCTTTCTTTATTAATGTATTCCGAAAAGTCAGCCTGAGTTTGACTATATATTTCCTGCGGCTATTGTAATTTTTTACGCCGCTATAGTGCTTGAATGCTTTGTGATATAAAATAATCTACCTAACCTTTGAACAACCCAATTTAATTAATTTATCTGAACAGAAAGCTGAAGTAAAATTTCTAGTTAAACTGCCGATCATAATGCTATCATAGTTACTTTCTATAACTAGCTGCTTTACAAGAACTGCTGTATAAATATTTGCGAACTTGGCATATCCTTCGGAACCCAGAAGCTTTTTGTTCTTTCATGGGACAGTGATCATGAGTTGACATATTAGTATACTTCTTCAATAGTAGTGAATGGTAGCGTTACTAGTCTATACGGATAGCCAACAATTTTATTACTAGCCTATAAACCGTTATTAGGCTATTTAAAAATATACATGCATATGTACTTATCACTAATAGCAGACTATTACCACGTTGTAAGCTGTCTAGTGTCACTATAGTACAAATTCATATTCTCAGAGCTCTCAAGCTAATTCTAAGAAACACCAGCTACTGCGTAGACTAGCTGGAAGAACTAATTAAGAATTATTATAGTGCAAAAAGTTTCTTAATATTCATTACGTATTTTAAGGCCTGGCATCAGCTTATCTTTATGTATAGGTTGCAACTTCAGTAACTAATATTGCACCTTCTAGCCATATATCGGTAACAAACATAAACCAAGGTAATAAACCGTAATTTGATTGTTTGAAAACATACATGCATATGTATATTACCATTAATGGCGCCATTGATATATTAGTGAGCAATCATCTAATATTAGCTTCACGATAATATCTATTCAAAGTAACCTAAGTAAATCAAATATAGCTATCCATATTATCAATAGATGCATCCCTACAATGATTCAACACGAAATTTGTAACGTTAAGAAGTAATCCATGATATTTACTAGTTCTGAAATCCGACCTAAAGTATAAACTTTTAAATAAATGCACGATACCATATAGAGTGAGCATTTGGCTACAATGAAATAAAATTTAGGCGCTTTTTTAATGCTCTAATGCTGTAAATTACGTTTTAGTTATGAATATAAGAGAAAATTACTGATTTGCCACTGTATTATTCCATATTTAAATATAGATACACGCAAATATATCTGACTGATAACTTCCAAAAACATTAGTATTTATTTTTGCTTCCTCATTCTATTGTACTTCTTCTTGGTCTTTCTCTTCCTCTTCTTCTTCCTCATCTTCTTCTTTTGCTTCTTCTTTTGCCAAAACTTCTAGATCAGATTCATTTATTTTCAACAGACTTATCATTTCAAGTGCTTCCTGATCTCTATCAAGTTTAGAATAGCATTCTCTCATACAATCGCAAACATATAAAATTTCTGGATGTCGTTTTCCATATTTCTCGAAGTAAATCTCTAAGCAGGGCTCATACATCAATAAAGCTTCTTCATACTGTTCCTGCTTGAAATAAACGTTGCCCAATCCTTCGTAAATGGGGCAAATCTCTAATGATTCTTCACCAAATTTGTTTACAATAAGATTCTTGGCTTCGTAATACATCGACATAGCATCATCATGTTTGTCTTGATTATAATAAACATAGGCGATAGTATTATATAATCTTATGAGATCATCGATCGCATCGTCTTCTCCTAAATACTGAAGCTTAATATTAAGATATTTTGAAAGCATATTAATGGCTTGATCATAATTACCGAGTTCATTATGAATTAAACCTAAAATATGATAATTATTACCAATGTCTAAATTTTGATCATTAGTTTCTTTTAAACGAAAGCTTAGGGCTTCTTGACACATAGATAATGCATCATTATAGCCCTCTTTCCTGTAATAAGCCATTCCAAGATTGAGATATAAATCGATTAAACTAAATGCATGTTTAGTATCAACTTCTTGCTGTATAACCAATGATTTTTTCAACATCGATATGGAATCATCTAGCTGATCCAGGTCAAGATAAATTTTTCCCAGAATGTGATATACCTTTGCTACTTGCAGATCTTCCCCTTTTAATTCAAGTTGTATACATAGATACCTCTCATACATTAATATTGCATCGATGAATCGGCTTTGCTTGCTATGAATATCTCCAATATCGCAATATATTTGAGCCGTAAGTAAATTGGTTGCTCCCAAAAATTTTAATCGTAAAGTCAGAACCATATTATACATTTCTAAAGCCTTATCAAACTTGCTGAGGCTAGTATATAACCTACCTAGAGCTTGATAAGATTCGGCCACATTTAAGCTTTCATGACCAAGCAATTCCAACTTTATTTCTATTGCTTTCGTAAGCATTGAATTAGCCTTCTCATATTCTTCTTCTGTGTAATAAATCGTGCCTAAGTTATGATAAACTTTAGCAATTTCTATACTATTACGCTCAAGCAAGTCTAGCCAAATATTTAAAGATTTCTCGTGCAAGAACTTGGCTTCCTCGAAATTATTTTGATATGTATAGACTTTGGCCAATTCATGAAATGCATCAGCTACGTATAAGTTATGGTTACCAAATAATTCTAGCCGTATATCGCGAGCTTTCTCAATAATATTCTGAGATTCACGATCTTTCCCTTGAGATAGGTAGATTCCTCCAATTCTTACGTAGGATTCCGTAACTTCAAACTGATGTTGACCGACAATTTCTAATTTTATATTTAAGGATTTTTCGAACAGCGACATAGCATCTTCAAGTTTATTTTGTTGCTGTTTTATATCTCCAATGGAATCGTAAACATTAGCTACTGCTAAACTCTTGCTGCCTTGCTGGCTCAATCTAATTTTTAGAGCTTTTTCGTACATTAATAAGGCATTATCGATTTTATCTTTAGTGATATACATATCGCCGATGCTGCAGTAGGAATCAGCGGTTTTTAAGTGACCATCTCCAAATTTATCTAATCGAATTTTAAGTGACTTTTCGTAATTTTCTTGAGCTTCATTATACTTATCTTGCCAATAATAAATATCCGCAAGGCCATGATAGGTATCAGCGATATAGATATTATTATCCCCTATAGCCAAAAGTTTCAACTTTATGGATTTCAAATAATCATCAGCAGCATCTTTAAACAATCCCTTCATACCTTTGACTTTTCCGCGACTATCAAGACAATTAGCTAGTCTTAAGTCATCTTTCAGCATTCTTGCTAACTCCTCTGATTGACTACAGTAATCTAAAGCTTCGCTATAGCAATGTTGTTGTCGATAAGTAGCAGAAATATCCAAACTCACGTCACATTGAAGTTCATCAAGAATTCTTGTATTCTTAATAGTACTATGAATTCGATCTAGTACTTGCTGATATTTCGATCGGGCTGTTTTAAAATAACCTTTTTTAAAGTCATCATGGCCCTTTTGGTACAGCTTTCGCAGTTCTTTAGGGATGACATCCATTATATCGACAATCTCAATAGTTTAACCATTCTATGATTTTACTGCTTTTTTAATCAATACAAACCTTTTCAAGGGTTATTTAAACCAGTGGCAAAGTTTCACTGAATATCTCACAAAATACATCAAGATGATCCTTGTTATTTGATGTAATTTAAAGTAATTAACGAATAGCCTTCTAGTAGTAAAGTTGAAATTATCCAGCAAAATATTGATTGAACGACCAGACGAAAAGAAATAATAGGAAATATCAAGTTTCCGGAGTAAGTTTTGATTAGTGGCGCCGTTTCTGGATAACGAACAATCGAACATTAGCCAATTGCTAATTTATGTCCAAATGTCACGTGCTAATCCACCAATATATAATTTTTAGCTAAGGGATGTATTTGTACTTTTTACACTACTATTATATTTCCATAACAAGCGCAAGTAAACGTTAATATGCTAAATATTAATTTATTATGCATACTTGATTCGATGTTACATGGTAGACTCGTGACGACATAAATGAAACTGGATTGACTTATAGTAGCTCATAGATATTTGTATATTCTAAATATTACTTAATAATGCGCACTTGATTTGATGCTACAATATGAACTAATGATGGTGCAGTGTTTACTTCTAAATGAAAATGGATTGACCTATACTAGTTTGTAAATACCTACTAAGTGACAAGTGATTGCATTTCATAGGATCTAAATTTTTGGTTCTATTAATAAGGGTTTTTCGTTGATCTAGACTACATTTGACACTAATCAGTTCCTGCAAATGCAATCTAATGACAGAATTAGCAATATTATTACATTGTTTTAGTGTATACCTTGAAAGTATTCTTAGTACTAAGTAAAGCAGTAGTGAGAAGCAATGCCGTAATAGGTGTGGTTAGCATTAGGCATTAATATAAATCTTAATAGTACTACATCATATTATAGTATATAATCTCAATTATGAGAGCAGAAAATGCTAATCTGCAGCGTTGGAATTGAACTTAGTGTTATTAAGCAGCGCCCTAAATCTTTTCAATGTAACCATGCAATCTATTCTGGAGCTCTTCTCACTATATCCAATATCCAAATAATCATTACCAGGTCAGAGATTCCAGAGATTCTTCATTGCCACTCGAAAGTAAATGAATAGGCATCGATCCATACTAAACGATAATATATTTTCTTAAAACTACTTTTACTCTATAACGAATATTTCTGTAGTGATTTCAGCCAATTGAAGTAGTGTCATATTGAACGGTAGCACTAAGGCGTTATACAACCTGTTGGCTACAGATCGATTTTCATTTATTGCTAAGATTTTCTAGTTAGTACAACTCTATGCAGCATGGCTTTATTACAGTATCATCTTATTAATTAGATACTACTTATATATATATATTATAGTAAATACTTAATTAGATATATTGTGACACAAAATCACATTGCTGCACGTAAAAGCCTTTAGGCTTAACGTCTCTAATCTAGATTCATTATGTGAATACATTTAAATTTCATCGAAGGTAAGATATTTACTATACTATAAGTAGTTAACCATTGATGAAATGATTTTAGTTACTATCTAAAACGTAATACCGTTATAAGGCTCATATTTCTTCGTGAAACTGCTATTCTTGACATATTATTATCATTCTACAATTCAATTTCAAAGTATCAGCATATAAATAGGTCAAGTAAAGCTGATTTCTGTTGAATTTCAATCTCTCTTTACGTATAACTGAATTTCGACTATACTATTGTAATACATTAAATTCAGATACCGGTTAGCCAACATTTAAGTACAAAAATAAAGTTGACAATACATCTGGCTTTACCGCTTAGATTACTTAGCAATTAAAAATCATATACAGTAAAAGAAACTATGATGTTATCCCACTTGATGTCAAGAATACGCCAAAATAATTAAAAAATACACTATTTCAAGTAGAGCTGAATAAGAGTGATATCTTAATTAAGATAATTAACCACACTGAAACTCAACTGAAGACCGAACTGGATGGTGTACAATTTATTCGCAGGGTGGCTACAGAGGAACCAACCTGTAATATTATTTTCTAGATTTGCCACCCTTTACCTATTTAACTACCTGTCATACTGGATCTATCTGACCTATCTTTAATATCTTTCAATATTTCTTTCATTTCTGCTACTTCTCTAAATGTACGTAATTTATGGCAGCAATCCTTCATACAAGAACAGATGTATTCCAACTCCGGATGTTTTTCACCATATTTGGTCGATAAATATTAGAGCAGAATATATATCCATATGCAAGACATTCTCATATTCTTTCAGATGGAAATAGTTATTGCCTAGACCTTCGTAGATAGGACACATTTGCAATGCATCATGCCTTAAATGCTTGCAACATAATCTTTAGTAAGATTATACATGGATATGGAATCATCATATTTAGCTTGATTAAAATAAATATCAGCTAAAGCTTTATAAGAATCTGCTATATCATCGCCTATAATGTCTCCACCTAAAGTTTTTAATTTAATATCAACATGTTTTAAGTGCATATTTAGCGATTCATCATATCCCCTTTGCACATCGGCATATATTGACCCTTAAGCAATATAACTTTCTGCAATCTCTAAATTTTCCAAGCCAGATTATCCGAATCGAATACTAAGGGCTGTCTGACACATGGGCAGAGCATGTTCGTGATTAGCTTGTTTATAATAGGCTATGACAAGCATATATTAGAACAGCACTAACAGGCTCATTTAGCGATAGATAAATATTCCCAATTTAGTAATTGGTTATATGGCTTTGCTACCTCTATACTATATCCTAAAAACTCTAAGCGAATATGAAGACTTTCTTACATACATCAACAGTACGTCTGCTTATTGATCTTACTTATTTTAAGCATCATTAATATCATGATAAGATTGAGAAATATGCAAATCGGAATCCTCTAGTAACTCTAATCAAATATCAAGTGCCTTCTTAAACACTGGAAAGGCATGATTGCAATGATCTCGACAATAAGATAAATCTCTAATGGCCTGATATAAATCTACAATTGCCAAGTCCTGAGCACCAAGTATTTTCAATTACATATTTAAAGCATGAAGAAACATCTATTCAGCATCATCTTAATCCTCTTTAAAGCAGTATATGTTTGATAGTAGCAATTAGCCACTGTTAAATTCCTTAAAGTCAAGATACCAAACCAAATGGATAAGGCTTTCTCGTATATTAGCAGAGCAAGATCCACATTTATTCTATAGCGTTAAATTTGGACTAACTGATAATTGAACTCAAATTTTCAATAAACAAAACGTATGGCCAATCTTTCATGAGACTGCTGAGAAAGAATGAAGAGAAGATAATATGTCTCTAGTAATATATTGTAAATTATACTTTAAGGCTTTGTAGTTAATCGTCCTAGCTAATATCCTAACATGCATCATTAGAATGATATTTCGCGACCATAAATCGAGAAGATCCTGTATGCCAAATACTATAATTTAATCTATACTGTAACAGCTGTAGTTGATTATTTCACTTATGACCTACCTTGTGTAAAAGTATGATTTGTTGCCAGTAGCGCAATGGAAAGGATGTTATATGCTCAGCACTCTGTTTTAATCCATACTTTAATAGCATGCAGCTGATGATTTAACTTGTGGTATTACATACGAATGCAACAGCATGATTTATAGCCAGCAATAAGGAACAAAAAAGTAGCTACAAGCTCAGTACTCTAGGCTAATCTATTCTTTAATTGTGCATAGTTGATCGTTTAACTCATGACTTTTCGTATACAGTAGTATGACTCAATAATAAGAAGTTGAAAGATGCTATATGCCCAGTACTATATTTTAATTTATACTATAATAGGAAGTATTTGATTATTTAACTTTTGACCTTCGTATGAAACAGTTTGATTTATTGGCAATAAGAAAAAGGAAAAGATGCATGCTATATTAAAACCGTATATTTGAAATAAATCTTAAAGGGCATATAATTCTTCCATTAAAATTAGATCACAACTGGTATTATAGTTCCATTTCCTATTACAGTAAATTTTAAAGGTTGGCACTGATCACTATTGTCAAGTACAGCAGCTACTTGTTACTAGAGTCTTGTAAGTTTACCAATCAATATGACAATCATTCTAATTTCTTTTCCTTTTTGATTACACGTTTTTACGAACACATCTACAGAGCTTTTTATTTGATGTGAAATTTTAAGCCAACAGAAACAAATTAACTTACGTTAAAGATTTTAGATATCGTAAAAAATATTTAATTAATTGCATATAAATACAGACATAGAACTTTTAAATTTTTAATAACATAAACGGCAAATGTTTAATTATATTAAATAGCTAGGCCATAAATTGCTATATACTGCATGACAAATCAGTAAAGGGGTTGCAACATGTTAAATTCGAATATTTTGCATCATTATAAAGATTCCACCTGGTAATGCAATTGTAGCATCATCTTGCTCTTTGCAGAGTCTAGTTTACTGTTAATATGCGGCATTTTGTATCTGAACTAGACCTTAAAAGTAGTTTCAATTTGAGCACATATCTATTACTCATATCAAGTTGCTATTGATCACAAACTTTATAACCTGATATCAAAGCAATTATTTCTTATCATTTATTTATTCAAGAATTCTTTAGCTTTCTAGCCGAGTCGAGTTGACGTACCAATTATATAATTTACTCCTTTATCAACTTCAACTTAAAAATAGTATAAAAGTGAATTTTTTTATTTATTCTTTTAAATTCCTCGAAATTTGCATTGAAATAATCAAAGGAAATATCCCAATGGTCGTGTGAACCGAATAAGCTATAAATAATTGATTAATTTTGCAGTTAATCATGAAATCAATATTAGATGTCGCAATGATTTTAAATCATATGAAAGTGCACAGATGATGCATGAAATGCATTGAAGGGATTTTCCAATTTATCAGCTAAATAAAAAGATTTTGCATTATATTAGCTAATACAAGAATTGAATTATC